AGATGACGAAGTGTCGGCTAGCTGTGAACAGCTTCACCGACGGGCGCCGGCCGTCTAAGGCATGTCGACCATTCCTTTGACCCGAACGACGTAGTCATGTCGGGTGTGAGGCGCTGTATGGTAAGGCGCATAATTTGCCTGTTAAGGCAATCTGATTGTGGCTCTATATCTGGAGACTTCTATGACGCCTCGGTGTGAAAATTTCGAAGAATAATGGTCTGCGGCGCAAAGTCGATAGGGTAAAGCTTGTGGCTTTGTCCGGCTGTTTTCAAGGCCGGGAACGGGTGTGGAGATTATTGCTGCCAAGCGTCCTTAAGTATCCTGATGGTAAGGTGATATGACGGCTTATGAAGAGGACATGTGCTTTGTTTATCGAATTGGAATTCGGTGTCGCGTTCAGACTACGGGATCTCGGAATTAGCTCTAATATCATACCACGGCAACTGGTGATAAAGAAGGTGACCTAGTCGAATGCAACAATAGAGGATGTTCTTGCTCAGCCCATGTACCTGGACCTTGCTCCTTTTAAGAAAAACACAGCTGAACGAGACATCAAAATGCCGACCAGCCAGACCGCGGATGATGAGGGGAATGGATACGTGCGCTTCCGCTCGGGTGGCATGACGAATTCACCATGGGATTGAGGTGGGAATGTCAAAGCATGGCAATGAATTGGCGAATGATGCATGGGTGCCACGATTCAATTTCCTGTTCTCCACTTAGGTAGGATGGTGGATACATGGTTGCCTCGTCCGGGCAGCTGAGCGACCTGATGATTCGCGGCCCAGTGGATAGGCAGCTACGGCCTACGGGATAGGGTCTGGTGGGTCTGAAACTAATTGCATTACCATTGTAGCGGAATGTGGCGCAAACGGTGTCGCTGTCACGTGCCTATATACCTAGGTATTCATTTGTCGACGACCTCCTATCACTTTCAATAAGGCAGCTCCATTATTCAGTTGGTTTAGTTCATCTCTTTCCGATACCGGGTGTTTGAATAATACTTCCAGCTTACTTGCATAAGTTTGTTCACTTATGAATTCCATTCTTAACCTATGGAATACGTAGAATGTGTACAGTCCTACACTTAGATATGTTACATGTTAGTGCGTCGCCAAGTTGCCTAAATTGAATGTTTGGAGGAAGTAAATTGCCAATTCCACGAAAATACCTCGCACTTCCCCACGATCTTTGGTTTTCAGAAACGAAAGACGCCAGCACATTGACTTGATGGAGCTCCACCCCAATCACGATGTAAACCTGGCAGCTGGGCAGGCGAACATGTAATCCCGATGCTAGCCATTGACATACCGGCCAGGTCTTGTCCTTCCCAGCCCCTTATGTGTGAGCCTCGGACGTTGGGCGGCACGCAACCTCGGTTGGGCCTTTATCACGATTAACACTCTTATCCGAGATTGCATCAGCCTGTCACGTCGACAGCTATCATGCAAATGCAATTATTGTAAATGTGACTAATTTGATTTGCCGACGTTCAACGGTCAAATGTTATTTGTTACATTCTATGCATTGTAAGGCGTTTATAGCTAGAAAGAGGCAGCTTATACTTCTACTCGCTTCATCCCTGTGTTGTGGCAGCGTGGTATTGGAAGTGCAGTGTTGATGCATGCGTGACATTGGTATCGTTATGAGTTGCGACTTATTTTTGTTTTGTCTTTCCACCACGATCAAAAGGGCAGGAACTAGTGGTCTTAAATGGTAGCTTGTCAAGGAACCATAGAGTTATATTGTTAGGGGATATGATTTTCCTCTGCATGTGTGCTGGCTCCAAAACTGAAAGCTGGATATTTCAGCCTTGCTTTACTGGTTCAGTCTAGTTGGCTTGCTGAACGATGAATGTTCATCATGTTGCTGAACTTAAAGGAATACTCCTTCAACAGCAAGGTTTACCATCGTGATATGCCACCCTAGAACCGCCAGCTGAAGGCCAACATAAGGAATCCTAATATAGACCAGATTCTAGAATATTCCTAATAATTAGTAACAATATTGTTGTCAGGTGTTAACGACGATAAGTCCGAAAAGACGAGTGAAAAATCTTTGCCTAGGTAAATGACGTTTCAACGTCTTGATAGTGGAGTTTTTGATCCGCCACAAGGATCACTTTCGAAGAGCCTCAGGCCGTGGTATGTAAGATTCTCGCTAAAGATCGCGACTCTGCCTAAATACTCTGAAAAGAACTGGGTTAAAAAAGGTACTTTGCAGTCGTTAATGCTGAGTCCTTCTCCAGATTGGTCTCTGCGCATGAAGTGATGTAAACACTAGATACTAGTAAGCGAGCCTCATCCAGGGGGTTGATCTAACTCGCCAATCATTCAAGGCATAAGGCCCAAGGCCTCAAGTGACAAGAGTTGTGGTTGCAGCTAGTTCAGCCGCCCACACCATCTTTCCTTCATTCTTAATAAAATTGCAATGACTGGTGATGATTCATTCTGCCCTCAGGTGCCTAGAGTTGCCCCGTTGTCGAACAAATCCCTGCGTTGTCGGAAACCCCCCCCCCCCCCCCGGAGAGCTTCAGGGGAATTGATGTAGGCAGTGTAGCCTGTAGGCAGAAGCTGCGTACACATCATGCGAAACGCCAGCCACATGACGCTCCACGCCGAGAGGTCGGTGTTGGGAAAGCATCGATTCGTTACGATGCTTCGAAAACGTCGGAGGCAACTGCAACCAAGACAGTGGTGAATCTGACATATCCAACCTCAACCCAGAGAGTTGCAAGTCACACATGGCTTATGTGAATGTCTCCGGACGCCTTGATCCATCGGTGTTCCACAAGTATGTGAATGAGCAGCCAGCTTTCATTGCCCCCAGAAGGCCCGAATAAAAATGTTTCCGTCTCTGGAGCGACAACTTCATAGTCACGGGTCCAGTCGGCATACAAGTCTCGTCTATCGAAATATCGAGTCAGCGGCTCAGCCAGCCTTGGTGCGGCGTCATCAAGTTGCCTCCTCGCGTATCTACAAATCTATCAGCTTTCAGCCGTGAGAGAGTAGTCTTTAGGGAGAAGGCCTCCAGACCATGCGTCACGTTCGTCGTGGTTTTGGCCACCAGGGCCGACCTCGCCGTTCAACCAACCCATACAACACCAACAGAAGCGTCGGGGTTCGGTTCAATTCCGTTGAGAGACTGCGGAAACGTCCTCAAGTGGTGGCCGATACGAGGATTTTGTGGGCTTTTTTAATCGTTGCTCGTCAATGTTGCGTTGCTTCGCAGTAGTCACGGACTCGCCGGCATGTTGCAGCACACTGGTTGTGGCTGTGCTCCGAGTGGCGTTGGAATCTGAAGATTGGCTGCTCCATGCCTTTGGTGGATGAGAAGATTTGTCAAAAACAAGAACACAGAACCGAGCATTCCGTGGCTAAAAGCACTGAATTTGCCACGGAGCCCTCAACCCTTGAAATGTTCCGCAACACCATCTCCGTGGAAGTCACGGAGATGAAGATGTTTCCGTGCGGCTGTGAACTCAGTCACTGGGGTTGTGGCGTGGTTCAGTCGCTGTTGAGCCACTTGAACCAATGAGCTGTGGTTGCGTGAGCAGACCAATGAGACACCTCGGAAAGTACCAAGGCCAGATAGGTAGACAGCAGTAGAGCCTAAGTGCGAAACTCCGACTCCCAAGACTCACTCAGACTCACTCAGACTCACGAGCGCGAAGTCTTCGTCGTGAAAAGGAAAAATGTAGAGACACAAGAGAAGAAGCACTGTCAATACCTTTTTTTCTGATGGAACTCACGGCTGAGACTTCTGTCAGCGGGATCCAATGTTCATGGTAATAATTCTCGAAGAGTGTCACCTGGGCTGGGACTCTTGGCCTGATACGATGGTGTTTTGTTTAAAGATCGGACAAGCGCGAGAACACCTTTTATTTGGCTGGCTGACATTAGTAAGCCAGGTCAACTGATCACAGAGAAAGAGGTTGTCGTTGGGCAAGGAAACAAGCACTTTGGTTGGGCCTTATCTGGCCCCCAATTTTTGAGTGACGTGTCTCAAAATGCACTTGATCCCCGACTCTGGACATACTGTAGCAGAGCGTTTTCGCACCGAATACGGAGCCTGTCATCTATTATCCAGTGCATGCGCCAAAGCCAATCAGCAACGGCTGAACCTATTTACGACGCACCATCGTGCCGAAACTGGCATTACTAGAAAGTGCAGAACTGCATCGTGACGCTGACTTGGGGCAATAACGCCTATGTAGACGGCCAGGCAAGCAGATGGCTGTGGAGCGGGCAGGGCAGGATCTTATATTGCGATAGCTTTGCCTACTCAATGATGAAGTCTTGGGGACGCGTGTTGATCGAGAAGATGAAAAATGGAGGGGGGACGGAAACCCAACAAATGGTGGTTCGCCCGGAATGGCGAACCATTTACAGAGCCGCAGAAATTCAGGCAGCCTAGCGGGGGCTTGTAGTGTCTTACCACACAGGGTGTGCGGGGCAGATGGTTCGCGGTTCGCCATCAACGCACCCCCTTCCTCGCCTCGTCTTTTTCTGCCTTTCAAGCAGGCTCGCTAATTAACAACAAGAGTGATGAACAACGCCAGAGAGATTCCTACCTGGTTTTGCAAACCAGAAGGCCCCGAGGCGAACTGTCCCAGCTGAAGTATGAAAGGGAATGGGACCGTCTTAATATATTGCTGGTTTCTTGTCTCCAGAATCTTGTCGGCTCAAAATACACTCGGGATTTACGTTCTCCCGAAGCACTGATGCTCATTTCGTCCTCTCACGGATTTTGGGCGGATCACACACGGATACATCAAAAATGACGAGCAATTCGCATGGCATAAGTCTCGACCTTTCGAAGCGAATTACCAATTACAGGCGTGCCAACGACTCGAACCTACGAAAGTGTGCATATTGCAATGATTATACGTTTCCTATAAACTCCACGAAAAGCGATGTGGAGCGTCATTTCCAGGACTGCGGCCATAAGAGGCACGACAGCAACCAAAACGATTTAGTTGAGAGGACATGGCTACAGTAATGCTCGCTCACCGAGCCGCTTGCTTCGATGCTGACGTTCACTTGCTTAGAATCAAAGACCGCCAGCGAATGCGGCCCTCGTCAAACCCACCGCAACCTCCGCCCGAACCAACTGCATCAAAACAAGAACCTATAGACAAGGACGACCCGAGTGTCCAGGATTCTGTGGCCGGTCATGATAGGCAAGGGGCCGTTAGTCCATCTTCAGAAAAGAATAAAAGGAAGGACGGCGATCAGAGGTCTTCACACCCAAAGCGCAGTCGGGCAAGACAGCCAAATCAAGCTTCTGGTGCCAGCCGAGCGGAAGATAGTGATTTCCAAAGGGACCCCGCGCACAAGGCCGGCAGGCTATGGACCCCTGAGGAAGGTTCCTCTACTCCCCGGCGGACCGATGCCGGGCGATCCAGGGAGAAAGATGGCGCAGACCTGCCTCGAGCAGCTTCCAATCGGTCGTTCGAGCATTCGCGTTCCTCTGACTTTGATAATACTGAGGTACTAATCAAGCAGCCAGAGACGCGCCCTATTAGCCAAGAGCAGCTTGTTGCTGAGGTGAAGGGCATTTATGCTGGGCTCGTCATGGTTGAATCGAAGTGTATCGAGGTCGACAACGCTCAGAGTTCAAATAACGAGACCAACCCCAAGCTAAATAATGAACAGTGGCAGGCATTGATCGCTTTGCACCGAACATTGCTGCACGAACACCATGATTTCTTCCTTGCTTCTCAGCATCCCTCGGCGAGTCCGGCACTACGACGGCTCGCAAGCAAGTATGCCATGCCGGCGCGCATGTGGAGGCACGGGATTCATTCATTTTTGGAGCTTTTGCGGCACCGTCTGCCTGCCTCACTCGAACATATGCTCACGTTCATTTATTTGGCATATTCTATGATGGCTCTATTGTACGAGACTGTTCCAACTTTTGAGGATACTTGGATTGAATGCCTCGGCGACTTGGGCCGCTATCGGTCAGTAAACTCAAGACAAGACATTGTTACCAATCTTCTTGCTCCATACGTATTGACTCTTACTACAGTATGGCTATTGAAGATGATGATCTTAAGGATAGAGAGGTCTGGACTTCAGTCTCTCGCCATTGGTACTCAAAGGCTAGTGATAAAGCCCCTCAAACGGGTCGCCTTTATCATCACCTCGCAATTCTGGCTCGTCCCAATGCTCTGCAGCAGCTTTTCTATTACACCAAGTCTCTCTGCGTGCCAGTTCCTTTCCTGTCTGCTCGCGAGTCAATTATGACTCTGTTCGACCCGCATCTCAATGGCACACAGACGAGGCTGCAGGAAATTGACGCAGCCTTTGTCCGCGCTCACGCAATCCTCTTTTCGGGCAAGAACACAGATCAACTCCCCTCGTCTATCAACGAGTTCATCGACAGCTTGGATAACCACATCGCACGTCACACTAGTCGCTGGCGTGATAGCGCGTATTACATTTCTATCGCGCTAGGGTGTTCACTTCTCGAATATGGTAGCGAGAGCAATCCTATTATGAGAGCCATCAAATCAGGCCGTGCCGACGACGCAGACGTTCCAATGGATGAAGCTGAAACCATAGCCGCTCCAACACAGAAGTTTTTGGACGCCCTGGACTTTGCGGCTCGTACTCATAACGTTGTGTTGAGGCGCTTCGGCGACGAGAACATCCGTCCCTACCTGCACGTCACACTCTCACTCCTCCAACACTTGTCTCAGTTTCCTGCAGCGATGGGACTGATAGAAGAGAAGATGCCTTGGAAGCTCATTGCGTTGCTCCTCAACACTATCATGCCCACGGAGATGCCTACTGAAATTATCAAGACCATTGAGTCGGAAGACTTCCCCCGGCCAGATAAGGGTGATCCTCGTCCTCTGCCGGACGACTTCGCGCAGCGGGGCCTCCTTTGGGTTGATAAATACTATCCGAGCGATTGGTTTACGGCCACGAAAGTGGACGACGATGAAAAGTATTTCGAGGTTGCGTCAATGATGGAAGAGCGCTCACAGCGCTGTCTTTGGCTGGGTTGTCGACTAGCAACATCGGGCAAGTGGCTGACTTACGACGAAGAAACCAAACAATTCGGTGTGGCACCGCAGTTCGATATAGAAATACCTGACCTCAGCAGCGACGTCACGTCTCCAGATGGCGATATGATCATTCCCGATGCTCCCATTGCGAGTCAATGACGGTGGTGGACTGGTGAGTTCTATTGGTGGGAGGCGTTGCGTTGGAGGCTTTTGTGTAGCATCAATAAGAGATTTGTGCGGCGTTCGGCGTTTCATTTGTATTTGGTTTTTTCTGTTTTCCATTTCCGCGCTTCCCACGATGCAGAACCAGTCCCGCTTGCTCTAAATACGTTAGGTATCCAGACACTGGCTATGACTAGTGAACTGAGATGCTAAATAACTACCGCAATCTATCCGCGGTACCATGATTCGGCGCCCGCGAAGCCTTGTATCAGATCGAAATACATCTGGCTAGACTGTAGCTCGCCGGCCCGTAGCAGGGAATATGGAGGGAAGAAAGGCGATAGATGGATCGTTCGTTCGTTGCTGCAAGTCTGTTCTGATTCATACTCTCGAGTATGTAAGTATCTCTATGTAGATAGTTTCAACCCTCGTTCTCCGGGTGTAACATTGACGTCCTCTGTCCGATGAGATTTCCGTGATCTTGATTCTTAGTCCCGGGGCGGGATGCAGTTCGGCCCGGCCCGGCAGATCAATACTGCATATGCCAACCAGCCGCTTTGGATTGATATTGGTTCTAGGACTTCTTGAAACTAACTAAAGATACTCATTGTGATACAATAGCGAGGTAGAAATGTTTCAGATTCCGTACTGTAAGTAGGTGTGTACGTACTCGGGATATTCCAGATATCCCGTCGGCACTCCGGGGATCGGCACCGGACCCGTGACTGGCCAATAAAAGCACCCGCTGTCTGGCAACTATACATTTTTGAAGTTGGGCGTAAAGGCCTTGCAGTAGTATAATTGCAACGATTCGCCAGCCTTGCAGAGTTCATCCGGATGAGACATTCTACACTCTTTCATAGGTATAATTGTCTACCCAGTGCCAAGTCCGCTTCCCTGATGGAAATCCTCAAGACTCGCCATTGGCGTGTTCACTTGACTTCGGTGGCAGCTTGACAACCGCTACCTTTGTGGAAACTGCAACAGAACTATAAGCCCATGCGCCGAGAATCGAAAAATGCCCAGTAAGTTGGAGGAGAACGTGATATCGCGAGGCAACCCGTTATTGAAGTTAGACGTCGGTGAGAATGTATCAGGATGCTAGGCGTGACCCGAACCCAGCCACCTGACTGACGAAAATATCGACGTAAGCCGCTGAGGAACGCGGCATCTACTTCCCTCTTCCTTTCTAAGCCCATAAGGCAACTGAGCTTCTACGCCCGGATATTTCGGGTTGGAAGTGTGATAGCGGCAACTTGGTCGTCATTTGGCGGGCGGAGTAAAAGGCAAATCAATACGAGGGGCGGGGTGGTATGCACCTTTGCGAAACCAATTGGGCTGAGTGTGCAGCACACTCGGCGATTACCTCCATGGAGAAACTAAAAGGGTACACATGCAGGATCAAAGTCTCGAGATCAAACATGTCAAAGCAGCCTCTCTACGTCCGTCCGAGGGACGGTTGTTCCTGAATATCTCGGAGTTGTGCCTAGTCCACCGGCCCCCAATCCGGGGCTGAATTCGGGCGGTAGACGTCTGTGAACCCGCATCTCCCTCGGGACTTGTCCGGGTCGCTGGAAAGCAGTGGTAGTACTCAATTGATTTGATCTCATTTCTCGGGTCCCTATTCCGTACTGACGCTAATTGTTCGCATGGACGTGCGTCTAATATCGCATCCTTGTCCGAGAACCGGAGTTTGGCGTTGGACCACGGACGTTGCCTTGCATTTGGTGCCTAGCAGGCGGGGGGTTGCCTTATTCCATGGTTCAAGTAGTTACGGATGTCAAAGACTCCGCCAAAGGAAGTCAATAATTTCCAAGTTTTGCATTGCTGTCACGGCAGAGAAGCCCGTCCTCCGTTACAAATAGGCAATGCTTCGGCAAAATCCAAGTTTAGAATTGATTGCTAATATTCTCAATGCGATGGTGAGAAAAAAGTGCTTCCTTCGGACTAACTAGCATTTGGTGCTGACAGTGCTTTTCGGGCGTAAAGTCCGATGCCATACGGTCATAGGATCGTCAGCGTAAGAGGATCTCCCTCTTTATGGTCAGAGTCGGAGTAATTCAAGACGCCTTTCAGCAAAGTGCATTCATTCGGCATCAATGACGGATTCTGTTAATACCAAAACCCATGTTTCAATTTCACGCTTGAGTGGTCGTTGCTGTCTTGAGAGGTCAATGTTCAGGTCGGAGCTAACGCTCCTGCCTATCAAAAGTCCCGAAACTTTGATAGCTCGGATTCAAGTTTTGATTTTGTTGCCTTATCCCTTGCAAGCCCGTCCTTGGAAGCGCATCGGACGGTTCCACGCCCGGAACATGCATCATCACATCCAACCCCTGCGGTCCCATGTGAACATCTCGTGCCTTCCACGAGGCACCACTCCATGATTGATTACCCTTCAGTAGCCTACAAAAGGGAGCTCTTGAGACCCTCGTCTAAGTTGACGCTCGGCACCAAAATGGAACCTTTGCAAACGTGATGGCCTCGACTCCGAGACATTAGGCACAGTCTACCATTTGTAAAGTCGTCATGGGGCACACTGTTCCATGATGCCTTATCTAAGAGGGATTCTTTTGCGTTATTTCTATGGGCTGAATGGCTGGTGCATTTCTCCTGCAGTAAGTAATTACCAATTGCGGACGTACATAACGCCCGCAAGCAACATGGTGTGGTTTCATCGACCCATGCATGGTGATGCGCGCACGCTGCACCCTTCTGGCCACCCTCCATTACATATACTCACAGGTTCTCCTAGGCCATTTCTATGACATGAGCCTCGTCACAATTACTATGAGCTACACCGAAGCTACTGTTGCCCCGGTTTCTTAATCAACCAGACAATGTCAATATTAGGACTGAAAGTGCAAAGATGAGCTCCATTGAGAGTCAGGAAAAGCTCGTTCTCGTTGGATCAAAATTGCATGTACGAAAGCTCTTATCTCATGATCTGCGGAAAACTTGAATTTGAAGCTCGCAATCAAGAATGAGGGGTTTAGTTCGATGTTTGCACAGCCCGATCTTCGATCTAGAACAGAGCCTTTGATGCAGTCACGCTGCGAATCTAGTGGTTCGCCGTACCTTTAGGCAACAACATTAACTACAGCCGGCTCGTTTATTTGGCCAATGATAATGTAAGCTTTCAAAAACCTTGGTGACTTTTCAGAGAGACCATTTGTGGAGATCTTTTTGTGATCTGCGATTCAATCAATTCGATACTTTGTTATTCTAGGTATGTCTGTAGCAAGATCTGGCTGTCTTTCGTGGTGTTGTCATTGTCGGGTCATTGAAGTTCTTGATTGATGGTCGATGATGACTATCCAAGGCTCTAGAAGAATGCGGGGAAGTCTGGAAAAACCAGGTAGCACATGCAGCAGCGCCAGAGCGGTTGCGCTAGCCGCGGCTTTGGGTAGGTGATGTGGCCGCATACCGGTAAGCCTGATCGGGCATCCGAGCCTATCACCTTTATGAGGAAGACAAATCTTAACGCCCGTGTTCCCGGCCTCCCGCGATAGGGTGCCAAGCTGCATCTCGGTGTGGCGTGCTTCCCACATCCATGTAGGTCAGGAATTGGATAACGGTTGATGATCTGACTCGATTGGTACCTCAGTGATGGACAGCCTTTGAGGTGATATCAACTGGAAACGAGTTGGGGCCCTACACCAGTGAAGCGAGCAGGTCAGGTTACGAGGCACCAGATCCAGTATGTTGTCCCACTGTTCCGGAGGATAGTTCTGGTAAGAGCGCGCATTTACGACGTATGAGAACGGAATGGGAGATATCAAGGGCCAGAGTCACCAGACCAACCACGATATCTCGATTTGAGAGCCATGATGTAAATGCGAGGGAAATTCCGACTTGAAGCAGAAGCAGCAGCCATCGCAATGAAAGGATGCGGATGCACTTAACATGCAAGCCACTTTTTGCTTCTAAGGTGATTGTAAGGCTAGACATGGATCTGCATATGCAGACATGAGGGAAAGAAGGTTTAAAACTCTAGACGTGTTCACTGATGAATCGAAAGGCGATTTCACGAATCATTAGCGCCGCGCATCTAGCGTGTGGGTGCCTCGAATTGATGCACTTTCCTCAGCCTTCTCTGCTTCTCGAGTCAGATCATTTCCCCGTCAAATAGCTGACGCTGTCGTGAGTTGATTGTGAATTATACGACAGTGAGTGGGCAGGCAACTGTCACAATATGTATGTAGAAGCTACGACTACGAAATATCAACTCATTTACCCGAGGAATACTTACCAAATGTTGCTTTACACTTTGCCAATCTGCAGTCTGTGGCCGATGGGACTACTACTGTGTCACCGAAATTGGAACTTGAAATATGTTAAGAGACAACAGACGAAATATCAGATTACTGCTTTCATGTACAGAACTTTAACAACGAATAAGAAAAATCGCAAAGAAGGTTGCGTGTGCACATATGTGCTCTCCCAGACCGAGACCGGCTGAAAAATGGTCGCTTGGCCTACATTGATTGTGATCGAAAGCCATCCCCCTAAGATCGCAAGAATGTGAGACTTTCCAGATCTGGTAGTCGGATGCGTATTGCACATAATCTCTGAGATGGCTTGTCCGGGAAGGGCGGCATTCCCCAAAAAAGGTATAGTAGGCAGGCAACCTCATGCCGGTGATCAAATGACCGTCATGAATTGAAAGCCATCGGATAGAGGGCGGTGTGCTGCATCTTTGTCACACGTCAAGTTTCGGTCTGGAACTTCCAATCATGTTGAAGACTAAATTGTAATTTTGCTGCAGCCTTGTGACTGGGTGTCAAGGGTTCAAGCAGGCTGCGGATCTAGGGAGATGGTTGCATCTTAACTTTTCAGCCGGCAGCCTTGCTACCCACGTATTCTTCGGAAGAGGCAGAGTGCATTTTCTCCAGTGCGAAAAAGGCTAGCACGATATCGGAAGTGCGTTTGGTACTAGGCTCAGGTTTCTAGATTGTAATGAAGCTCTTGCGACTGGTTCGTCGATTCTCTAGGTGTAGAATGCAAGCAATCGGCAATTTTCACAGAGTCTCTGATGTGAAGTTGCGATACTAACAAGAGGAGAAATTTGTGTTGATCACTTTATTTTGAAAGAATTCCCAATCTTTGTCGGGGATATTACTTCTTTGAGATCAATTAGTACGATACAAGTGTGGTCAGAGAATCCAACATGGTGGTCTCTGAACTTTGAGTCGAAGGCATTTCAAGCATGTTTCTTCATTGGATGAGAGCTCCATCGATTCTTGGAACGAGTTAATAGGCCCAATCACATATTCTTAGAATCCATGTGACAGGTTGCGCACGATAGGATCCAAAGGAAAATCAAGCATCAAGTTTTAAATTTCAAGATGATAATCCAAGTCACAAGTGAGAATAAGTGTCTTAGTAACATATCGCATCTGAAATTGAAGAGGAACACAGCGTATATATGTCTAAACCGGTCAAACAGCATCAGAATTCCGAACTCGTTGGTTCTAGTTCATAATGTGATAGAAACTGGAACAAGTCATCACGCATACTTTAGGTATATATCTGGACAGAAGAGGAGACTGGCACTGACTGAGACGTCAAACGGGCGTATTGTCCATGGTATGACTAGCTTAAGGTGCTAAAGTCTATTGTATCTTATTACTGAGCGATTCCCAAAAGATTACTTCACGAGCAAAAGGTTGCTTAACCCTTGCAAGATCATAATAGGCCTAGGATTATGACAGAGCTGAAGGACACTGCTCACAAGGTACACCAGACGCCTATAAGATTTGTGTCTTTTTTGGTTTGCCATCAAACTTTTTAACACTCGGCCAACCAAATACATCTGCTGCTGCAATTATCAATCGGAAGTCGTTTACTCGAACTCACGAGAATTCCTAGTTCTTAAGTCATTAAACTTAACAATTCTCGATGGACATTGAGTGGCTAAGCAGTATTGTATTGTACAATACTGAACTGAAGTATGTCATTGGTTTAATTTGTCCTGATTCATAATCTTGAGGTACTCAAAAACATCACCGGGACTTCAAGACACTTCAAGACACTCGTTGACATCAGGCTATTGGCAACTTTCGATCCCATCATTGGGTATTAAGAGCCATTGAAAGTACCTTTCTCAACTCATTCACAGCTACGTGTTCAGGCAACACTTTGTCATCTCTAGACATTTACATGTTCAAGACGGCATTGAAAGGAAGAATCTTTCTCTGAAAGCGCCTGCTTTAATATTATTCAAGAAAGAAGCAACAGAGCCTAAGGTACCGCAGGTCACACGGTCGAAAATGAGTAGTCGGCATCTATGACCTTAAGCTAGACGGGAGGTGCTCCCGCGCTTGGTAAAGCAGACGGGCAAAGATCAGTCAGAAAACCATTTTCACTGCCACGAGAGAAATAGAAAAACCCAGGTGCTTGCCTCCAGTTTCCTCTCCTTTGCTTCATCACTTCTTTCCTCTACAATATCGTTACAAGTTACAGTTGTTTCTTCCCCCCAGAATTTCCCCCCTCCCCCGAAAAGCCATCGCAATAATTATTGCAGACTCAGAGCAAACCAACAAGCACAGATCCATCTAAGGAGATGATGAAAGAGAGCGAGGAAGATGAGAACATCGCTCTCGCAGCGGAAGGACGAGCGGAGATCGTCGAAGGAAAGTTCAGGGAACTGGGGATCCCTCGCAAATTCGACTACGAACGCGTCAAGGCCGCGAGAGCAAACCAAATGGCGAGATCACTGATCCATGAGGGTCGCGACTCGGTTTCGACTGCATGGTTCGCCTGGTATGTCGATTTCAATGTATGGAACTTCATCCATGAGAAGTGTGAGTACTACCGCAAACATCAAGTCCGAAACCCTCTGCTGACGTTCTTGAACTGCCTTTTAGTCGCCAAAGATGGCGACCACGAGACCTTCCCGTGGATCGACTTCGAACCAGCCGTGAAGCCCAATACTCCAGAAGACGCCTCCGCCTGGTTCGACGGCTTGAAGGACGCCATCAAGCAAAAGTACGACCTTCCCGCCCTGGAACGGAAGAAGCAGGGCCTCACCTTGACGAGACCGGAGAACTACCTTGTGCGTGACCACGACAAAGTCGCCGCGCGTTTACGCGAAGACACTTGGAACAACGTCTTCCCCGGAAGAGTGCCTCCCCACGGCATCGCCTTTGAAGTCATCGTTCCCTCTGCCGTCAAGATGTTTTCGGATCTGAAGTGGGACGTAACCCAGGGAGCGCATCATATCCCGGATACAGTCGGCATTTCCACGGTTGGGCGAGTACACCGCCGCGGCCACTTTGTTATGGCGATGGTTCTCGGTTATAACCCTGGCGTCGTTGACGACCCGGAGAGCAGATTGATTCTGGCCAAGACGTACGACCTCATCTTGAAATGGGCCGTGACGATCATCACCACCGGCAGAAGCATGAAGCTCACTAGAGTTTTCAAAAACTTCGACCTGCCGCAGCCTGGACTTGATGCTGTTGGAGAGGATACAATCATGGGAGGCATGGGAGACGAGATGGAGCTCACGCGGGAGCAGCTCGCCCTCTGCGCTGAAGAGTTTGATGTGGTGCCGTTGACTTCCATCCCGGACTACGCTGTGTTCCGGGTAAGCGAATGGCTGCACCGGGAGGTTTGCCGCACATCGGCAGAGGATCGCTGCCGATTGCTCCGGGATTGGTGCCAGCTTGAGAATGGCAAGTTCCACCAGAACCTCGAGGGAATGACTCGAGAGGACCTCCAGAAGGCTTGTCATGAAGCGTGGATGGAGAAGACAAATAAGTGGAAGGAAACGCTTGACGTCACGGTGTGGTCGTGGACTGAGGAGGTTTACTGGGCGAAGAAGATTGCGGAGCCGTTTGACTCTTGAGCGAGATGATACCCAGATGACGGAGAGGGATCATGGTATGACACTCTGTTGAGTTCTGGGCAAGGGCAGAAAGGGGCGACGCATAAGTCAAACTCTGGAATCATGAAGGTCGTTTTGTATTGAGCATTGTATCAATCATGTCTATTATTCACCAAACCACGCTCTCCATCCATTTTTTTCACTTCCAAAAAAAAGCCGCCGCACCTCAGATGACATTCTTCAACGACTGGCTAGCACGGAACCGCCTCAAGTTATACGCAATCAACGCCTCCGCGCCCTGCGGCCTTCCACCAGCAGCATGCGGCGAGACAACAACATTCGGCGCCTTCCACAACCGGCTCGACTCGGGCAACGGCTCGGTAACAAACACATCCAGCGCCGCGCCGCCGACCTCGCCCGCCTCGAGCGCGTCCACGAGCGCCTCCTCGTCAATGGACGTGCCGCGGCCGACGTTGACGATCCACGCGTGCTTGGGCAGCTGCTTGAGGCGCGCGGCGTTGAGCGCGTTCTTGGTGGACTCGGAGCCGGGGAGGATCATGACGAGGGCGTCCGTCTCGGGGAGGAGCTCGGCGAGCTTGTCCTCGCCGTAGACCTCGACGCCGTCGCGGATGCCGGCGTTGCGCGCGACGCCCTTCACCTGGGCGCCGAGGCCGCGGAGGTGCGGGGTGAGCGACTTGGCGATGTTGCCGAAGCCCCAGATCAGCACGCGGGCGTCGCGGAGGGTGGTGAAGGCGTTGGCGGGGCGGTCGGGCTGCGGGCCGCCGAGGTGGCCTGGCCACTTTGACTGGAGCTGGTAGTCGCGCATCTCGTAGAAGCGGCGGGCGGCGTTGAGGAGGAGGCCGAGGGCGTGCTCTGCGACGGTGTGGTCGTGGAGGCCTGAGCCGGTGGTGACTGTCACCTTGGAGGTGTCGAAGCCGGCGGAGAGGACGTCGTTGGGGCCGGCGGCGAGGGACTGGATCCACTTGATGTTCTTGAGGCGGGCGGCGGCGTCCTTGAGGTTGTCCGCTGAGTTCGTCCAGGTGACGAGGATCTCGGCGTCTGTGTGCTCCTCGGGGATGGTGGTCTTCACGTCGTAGGGGACGAGGTCGACGGAGAAGCCCTGGAGGCTGTCGACGTCGAGCTTGAGGGAGGTGGGGTAGAGGAGCTTCATGGTTGTGACGTGTGTGGTGTTGAGGGTTTATGAGATCTAGAGGTTGGTGTGTTAGTGATTTTGGTCCCCAATTGGAAGCTTGGATAGCACAGGAGGCTCTTACATTATGAGAGGTATGAGAGGAGAATCTGAACACTGAAGAGATCGTGAGGAAACACCAGAAAAACGAGAGCATCTGGAAGAAAATGAGCGAGGGGTCACGTCTGGTTTTACCTAACCTCGGGGCAAGGCATACCGATGACGGAGAGACCGCGATCCAATAAAACACAATGCGCGCGACAGCTTCCGTGTAAGCGGGGGTAAATGGATATTCCATGGACTGTGGACGGGGTGGATGGGTGGGATGGTGGGGGAACAGCGCCAAATCCGCACCAAGTTTCCACTCGCCCACTCGACGACGTCAAAAACGAAGCCATCCGGGCGTGTCGTTGGCGTCGTCAAGGTGGGGGAGGGGGCGGGGGAGGGGAAAGAACCCCGAACTTGGCTTGCTGACATGATCCCAGCAGCCATTTGCGTGATGGCAAGCACCGCAAGCTCACAATGATAGCTCCTCTATTAGAGAGCAAAGACTCCCCAGAGGCCCCCAAATTTACCCAGATGGTCCAAGATCCAGACTAAAGTAGCGCATTGCATGTACACAGTACTGACTCGTCTCATAAACCCGCAACTTTCTGCGTAGCAACACGTGTAGACGTGGAGTTGAGTTCGGAGAAATTTGCTACTATTGGACGAAACCGTGACCATTTTTTGTCACTTTGGACCAACGCGCCCGGGTTTCAGCGGCTATTGAGCGGCATAAACACCGATAGTTGCGGCAACTCACCGGATACTTTACCGTTCCATATCCGCCTGGCGAAACGCCTCTTGGGGGGTAACCAGGGAAGCTGGCTGTTTTTTTTTTCGGTCTGTTTTCTTCTTCTTCTTTTTGGGATGACATTGTTTGGTCGTGTGATTTGTGAGTGCTCTGAATCTAATTCTGGCTATCGAAAACTCAACTGTAGATTCCCTTACGGCTTTTGATCGAATTTCTGATTGCCGCCACTCTTTTTTGACGTCTCGACGTCTCCAACGAGTTTCGGAGAACTTTCTGCAATACCCCAAATTTGGACACAGGGTTTGTCAATGGCTTTCGGTTCGGCCTCGAAAGCTTGAACACGTTTCCTGGTTTAAATAGCTTGGATTGATTGCCGAAATCCGACATGCGCAATGATGCACTACATTCAGTCAGGTCTAATGTCGCCCTAGCTTCCTTAGCTCCGCGGATTCAGGTGGGGTATTGCCTCCATCCATCGCCTTCTCCATATGAACAGGAAACTCAATCGCGGGCGAGCAATTACCTATAATTGAACACTGTAAGTCGGCCTTCTAGATCTCGGTTGTAAAACGAGTGCGAGAGTCTCTGAGACTCTGAGGTTCACTTTAAGTTGGTGCTCGTAGCCACTCATACAAGGGAACGGCGTGAAACTCCAGACCTAGGTCTCACCGTGGACTCGGTTGTCGCAGCGATTCCTCTCCTCATGAACCTACCTCGTGTCGTTGAGGTTATCAGCAAAGTCTAGATGGCCGGATTTTCTGCAACTCGCCGAAACCCTTAGAGTAGCTCAGGTAATCTTGTGATCACAGACGTCTATCACTAGCACAACGGGCAATCATACTCTTGGCCTAGCAAAAGTCTTCCCAATCCTCACACAAATGTCTATTTCTATGAGTCTGTGATTGGGCAAATTAGCATGATAGATGTGAGAATGTTGCAAGGTCAAGAAGGTGGAGTATCCGTTCAGACTGATTGTTCAAAACAAGACTTTTTGCTCGTAGGTTCTATAGATCTTCTGGTTACGATCTTTCCCCTCGGTGGCGGAGCTTGCATTCTTTTGGCAAGGGTCATCCTTTCCAGCCAAGATGAAGGTGAAGAGTAAATCCAATCACTTTTAGTCAAGCTTTTATGCCTACACGTAATTTTACCAACCCTAGCTCCAAAGATTGTTCGAATGGCTATCATCGCGGCAGCCTTTCCCAGCCAGTCTTTAAAGAACTCCTTGGCGTAAACCTTGGAAAAGGATGAGCCTCTGTGTTGAAGACGACCTCTGTTAATGGCATGTAGTCCGTCGGCGAGAACAGCAAGTATAAATACTTCAGAGTCTCAGCCTGCAGTCGACAACGTCAGCTCAAAGTCTGCTCTGTATGTAACTTCGTCTTTCGACCACTTGATATACAACTTACCAGCCAGAAACTCTCCATATTATCCCTCGTCGAAGCGGGCACCGTCCGTACATCATTCATACTAGTATACCCCTCTCCGTCGGGCACCAAAGTATGCTTCTGGAACGATTGGAAAATCTTCCAGCCCCATTCTCGGTACATGGCATTGCCAGTGATGCGGTACATCATGAACAGACTCTCTACCGTCTCGGGTCTTTGCAGGTTGTGAGCGTCGAGGGGCTTGATAATGAAGTCCTTTTTCCACCTCGACAGTACTAACCATTATATTAGCACAAGGCTTCTTTGCTTGGGAAGGTTGGAAGAAAGTCGTCAACGTACCACTGCTTTCTTTACGTAACCACCTGTCGCCAGGTCCGGGCTGTAAGTCTGCTTCTGTGGCGTTGAACCACGTAATCTCGGGGGCGAGACCAGTTTCTGTGACGACATACATGCCCCAGCAGGTGTTCATGATCTCGATCGAGAGTTCGATGTCGTCTTCATGCTGAGCCGTCCAGCCCGGGTCACGACGGGCTTCCGCAAGAGGCCGTCCTTCTGTTGCCTGTCATGGTGGGGTTCAGCCGGTTGTATCCTTAGAAAATGACAGAATGAGAGACTTGAGAAACTCACAGCCATGGCGATTGTGCCTGGAAGAAAGCAGACGAGATGGTCCATCTTGGGAGATAGCGGTCCTCCCACGCCGGTCGGAAGCTCTGCAACGAACTTCAGTGCTGCGTTCAGCGTTGTCGTGACGAGGTGTCTCGCGATGCCGCCCAAGGCGTCATCCCACATGTCGCGGTAGATGCGTTCGCCTGTTTGGAGGTACTGCTTCGCAAGATACTCTATGAGGCGTCAGTCTCGGAGCTATCTCACAAAGTGGTCTTGATCCTACCATAGTACGAGTCACCTCGACTTCCGAGCCGAATCTCCCTCGTCGTGAACTGTCCGTGACTCGGATGCACAAAGATGGGAAGTAGTCCACCCTCCATCTTCTGGTCATCCAGCACCTTCATGACGCGCTCTGCTTTTTTCCAGTAAACGTCATTTCCAGTCAAGTGGGAAAGATACTTCATCTCAAGCTGTACAGTCGCAGCCTCAGCCGTGGACGAAGCCCCACCATCCGCATGCGAGGCGATGCCCTCCCTCTTGCCGATATTGACGCTCGCAAACGGGATCCCAGAGTTGGAGTCAAACGCCACCAGGAGCCGGTCCGCCAGGTCGATCGCCTTCGAGAGATAGACAGAGTCTCTTTTGGATGCGGCATGCGGCAGCTGGGTTGAGAGATAGTGTGCCGATAGAAGGCCGCCCAGCATACGGATCGTGGTCTCAAAGGTGTTTACGTCTTGGTCTTGGTCCCAAGTGAGGCTGCGGTGCAGCCATCTCCTGGCATCAGCGAGGGGCTGAGTCAAATTCATGAGCATCATTGTGTCCAAGCTGTCGACGATGATCCAGCCTAGGCCCTTGGGAGACATGTTTTCTCCTCTCTTGGACATAGGATGAAAGACATCGTTACCTTGAAAAGAGTCGGCGTGTTAGTTGAATTCGAAGAACGGGACGACTTGTCATGTAGGACATCTTACCCCATGCGTGTTTCTTGTAAGCATTCCAGCTCGTCAGAAACGCATCTCTCACTTCCTCTCTTCTGTCATACCAGTCGACGAATTGGGCTTGTGGGCTGTACTGCATGTATCCCAGAGCATCACCAGAGAAATATCCTCTAAGGCATGCGATAAGAACTGCGGAGACAACTATGCCAATGAAGACATTACGTATCCTCCGTCTCAATGAATTCTTTCTCTTGCTGGACAAGTGCAAAGAAATCCGAGGGTCATGACCGGCCGAACCAGCGGCCTTGGGTCGTGTGGGTGAGTGCCGACTTCGTCGGTTCGGTGAGGTGGCCATCGTGGTGTTCTTGCTGCCGAAAATGAGTGTGAATGATCCAGAACTAGATTCGATCGTGTCTTCTAGGACACAACTAAGAGGAAATAGTCTCAATGCAAAAGAAACAGAGGAATGGATAAGTACGATCCTCCATTCGAAACCAACAATCAGAAGCGCCAGCGCTTAGCGCCCTTGGGCCTTGCTTGCAGTCTGAGGAAGAGGTACCCGATGAGCCATCATGCAAAGGCAAGAACAACCAACGGGCGGTAATTGCAACCATGTTCCAAGGACGAAAGACGTAGCTTCCTCAAGTTTTCGTTTGCGCATTTGAGAAGGCACGAACAAGCGTCTTCCCTTTCAATTGGATACCGAAGAGTCGGTAACGGCCTGAATGAATCTTGGCAGCCCGAGATCTCAAGATGCCATTCGCCCAGGTTCCACAAAACTGCACGATGTTGGAACTCGTTACTCGGAGGGGGGGGGTTCTTTCCATCTTGTGCCGCGCGCTACGCTTAGGAAACTGCGGCTGTAAGACTACCCTACCTACCTTGCCTTCACATGGCATGTTGTTGGGGCCTGTTTTCTCGAGATACGCAAGCGCTGGACAATTTCTCCAGATCGCAACTCAGGCCTGGCCAACGCATGGCTCACATCCACAATACAGGCCAAAAAAGAGCCCTCGCTGTCTAAACATGGCAATTGAATTCAGAACCAACAAAGGAAGACAGCACGATATTGCAGGGACTCATTATGTAAGACCGATGCGAGAATACTAGCATGTTGGTTTCACCCATTTGAAAGGCAACCTGTGGGCATTCAACCTACAGCATTGGCAACAGATAGATCAACTTCGCCTTCGTCGAGTTCCCTAAGCCAAAGGCCTCAGCAACTTGTTTAGCTTTTCTTCCTTGCCATCACTATCTTATTACATGGCTATCGCAGGTTGTAGGCTTCGGTGACAATGGCGACAGCATATCCCGCTGTGACCGACGAGAACGGCACCGTCACGTCTTTCATAGCGCTTCCGACCGCCTTCACACCACCGACGAGCTGTTCGACCATCTATCGCCTCAACGGCTTCTCTCTCGCAGCGTATGACCCAGGTTATGGCATCGACATTGACACCAGAGTACGATGTGCGCCGCCAGCAGTCACAACGTGGTGGGAGCAAGGACGCCTCGGCCTCAACGACGGCGAGGGCCATACTGCCGTTAGTATCGGGCCTCTGGTATGTCCTGAGCGCTGGGTGACGGTTGCGACGTCGATCAAAAACGATACGAGCAGTACACTTGCCATGTGCTGCCCACAGTGAGTGTGGCTGGTGATCGAGAGTTTCTCAGTATACGGATCGTTGCTGATTAGTCGTCGCAGAGACTACACTCTGATCAGAGGTATTGCCGGTTCGGTCGAAGGAGACTGCCGTTCAGATCTCCTGTCCGGAGCAGTGATCACCTATGCATCAACATCCGCTCCAGATACTTCAAGCTGGACAATGGTGACGTCAACCCTCACCCAACCAGGTTTCGTTGGTGCCATCGCAGTGCTGGGATGGAATATCGAAGAGACAGCAGCCACTCCAATAGCAAGAGTCACTGTCACTGACGCAACTCCAACACCCACAAACGCAGTCAATGTCAATACCCCCGCTCTGCCTCGAGAGACTGCATCGACCACGACACTTTCGCCCTCAGGAGCGACATCGACGCCCGAGCCCGCAGCCCTCCCGTTGACGACCGCCATTGGAATCGGCGTAGGTGCTGTGGTAGGGGTCATCGCGCTGGTCATCCTCGGGTTCTTCTTTTGGCGTAGGAAGCGCAAGCAGCAGCGAAGGGCAGGAGAAACTGTGCCAGTCGTCGAAGAATATCATGCAAGGCCTCTTAAGACGAATAAATTCACGTCTCCCGCGCCGCGATATCACGAGCTTTACGTACACCAGCATGGTAGGAATCGGCAAGAAGTGATAGAGCTGCCTGTTCCACAGTACTATGCTGAGCTGGATGGAAGTAGGCCGGCATCAAGGTTAGATAGTTTAGGTCGGGCTACAAGGTGAGCATGCGATGCTTGAACAAGAGCATGAGGAGTTTAGTGGGGGGGGGGGGGAGAGTACGGACCTGTTCTTTCGAGATACCTGCGGCGTTGCGGATGAATTTGTCTATTAGGAGTTATTCTGATGTGTAAATGGCGCTAGAAATACCTCGAATCTATTATAATAGTTGAAATGCGACTTCTCATTATAAACATCCAACATGCTACCGATCATAACCCCAGCTTCGTCAACTCGCTCTCCAGACTCACTCTCCACGCCTTCGCCTTCTCCCCCTTCCCTCTAGGACAAACCTCACATATCGCCCTCGTAAAGTTCACGACCTTCTGCACCGTCTCCTGAACGCCCTTGTAAGGCCATCCAGCCACAACCTCCCCTTCGATCCCCTTCTCCCGACAAAACTCCCTCGCCCATCCCCTCATCCTCTCCCTCTCCGCCTTGGCCACCATCTCATCATCTCCTCCACCCCAAGGATACAAAAACGCATTCGGCGGATCCCACCTCGGCCCAGGCACCACCCCACCAAACTCCCAATCCAAAATCCCCGTCACGTCTCCCTCCCCATCCACCATGACGTTCGCGAGGTGCAGGTCCCTGTGCGAGAGTACATACCGCGTATCATCCACCTCGTCCGCGTGAACCCTAACATACTCTCTATACTCCTCCAAACGCGGCACAAGATCCCTCATCCACTCGAGCGAAGCGTGCCTCCCAATAGCGTAGATATACTTCTCGACGCTCTTATCCAGAAGCTCCGCCCACCCGGAGAACGCGCCCACAACAGGATTCAACGTCTCGATCGTCTCCCCCTCCCAGCACCGCGAAATCTCAGGCTCCATCCAAAACCACTCATCCACAACCGGGCCCGGCACCACCTCCCCATTGTCACCGACCCTCAACCCGCCAACATGCTTCCACACACCACCCTTCGAACTTTCCCACAACTCCGCGAGAAAGCCCACAAGCTGCTCAACAAGCCTCCTCCTCGCAACCTCCCCCAGCTTCCAAAACACCTTATCCGCACTCGCACCGTCAACCCTCTCCAACAGCGTAAACTCGTACCCCAGCACGTTCTCACAAGAAGAATCCCAGCGCAGCACGGCGGGCACGGGGACGGCGGTGTGTTGCCGGACCCAGCGCATCATGGCGACTTCGTTTTCTGTCTTTATGCGTGGTAAGTGGCGGCCTGCGACGCGGAGGACGAGTGTTATGGTGCCGTCTACGTTGGGACGTGCCGGTGCGAGGTGCGTGGCATCTGAAGGGGGGAAGTGGAGGAGGTAGATGCTGTGGAAGGCTGCTGTTACTGTGAGAGGTTCTGTGTGGGTTGGTGGTGGGAGGTTGAGGGATGTTGTGAAGGCGAGGAGTTGGTTTGGTGTGAGGAGGGGTGGGAGGTTCGCCGCGGGGTCGGCCATCTTTGAGGATTTTGGTGAAGGGATGGGTTCTTGTGATTTTACTGTTGTCAGTTGACGCGGAATGAATATGGTCAAGGAAGAACACAGGTTCGATGTCTTGTCTTTATATCTTTCTTTCTAATTGAGGCCTTTATAAGACCTGAATGGAGTGCGTAGATCTGCCTTCTCAATCAACCCGTAAGGGAAGGTGATGTTGATGAAGGTAAGCGCTACCGTCACGGCCCCACATGTCTAGCCAATATCGGGCCCGGCGCCGATGGGCGGGTCCACCTAACCCGGATGAGCCATCATGCATCACCCGCCCGTCGGCTACGCTGTGAAGAAATCGCCCCATCAACTACAACGACTATTTACCCGTATCACATTGTGAGCCAAAGATCAGAGATATAAAGTTGTCGTCCATCCTCTTCTAAATCGTCATACGGCGATTTCGGCGAGGCAAGAACGGTGGGCCACTCTACGTCCTTGCCCCGTTCTCCCTTTGGGCACATGGCCCCAACCACGCAAAAAATTCTGATCATCGTAGGGCTACCTTATAAAAAGAACAACAAGAACCAAAGCCATTGAAGAAGTCCACCAGGGGCAGGGAGCAAAGACCAGTGTGATCCTCCAGCACTTTGGTTTTTTTCTAGAAGAACTTCGCCCCAGGCAAGTATCTAGCCCAAGAAGGTTGAACTTCTCTAACCCGTCCGTACTTACATCTACTTGCCTAAATCACCCACCCGTCACTGCCCGCCGTCGCGGCCTTTCACCAAGTGCGTATTCCATCCCTCCATTCCCAAGATAGAGCGCAGCGGTGTCTCCCTAGAGTCTGGATTGTCACCTTGTCACCGAACCATGACTGCTGCGTCTTTCCTTTGAGAAAACACGACATCCAATAACACATTGCCATCGCAGCGAGAATAGTATATCGCATCCGCCAGGCGAGAAATTTTGTCGCTAGTGGTGCTGTGCCTTAAAAAGACCTAGAGCACGATCGAAACTCTTCTTATATACCCCGAACCATATTCCTGGATTTACATTGCAGATGCGCGTTAGACGCTGCTCCTTACCATAGACCACGGCTAGTAGTTCGCCTTACGTACCTCAACGAGTAGTGCTCAGATCTGGATTGAAATGTAAACGTTTAATTTAAACGATACAAACACAACACACCCCAAGCAAAAACACCTGACAGCTTGGCCCTTGGCCCCCAAGACGATTTACTCGCCTCCCCAAACGCCACGTGGAAATCATCGTCACCGGCCGGCACCTTATTCTTGGCCATTCCCTCTTCCCTCTCACTCTCGCACCCTATGCAAAAGTTGCCGAACCGACCGACCCGGACCGGCGCATTAGCGCTCCAGCAACTCCCTACTTCCCTACATCCCGTGTCCAGCCACCACGAGTCGCGCCCCTCAAACACCAAGCACAGATCCCCTCAAACCCAGCATATCCTTGCGAAGCAAACCCGAAAACGGGCAGATATACACGAATCCCAAGAAAAAAGAGCCGCCCAATCAATCGGTAGCCGCCAAGCCGGCCACCAAGAGCGTTCAAAGAAGATACACGAAACGCTCTCTTTAAAAAGTCGCTGCGGCTCTTGAGGTGTCCTGGATCTTCCAGATTGATCAGGTTCAGACACTTGAGAAAATGCCGCTTCTATTTTCACTTGTCTTGGGATCTTGGCCAAACACCAAGAGCGTTCTTTTGGAAGTATGTCTCTGCCCGTGATCTCTGATGAACTCGTTCTCGTTCACCCAGGATTTCCGACGGCGACCTCTATCCGGGTTTGCGCACTGGGGCTGGGGTGCGTGGTCACTTGGATTGGTGAGATATACTGCAGTTGACTCGTGTTACTTTTGTCTCTGTCTAACTATCTTTGCCCATCTTATCATTATTTCACCATTATGCTTCTTGACTCGGTAAACTGTTATGCATTGGGACTCCAGAGCTCCATGGTATTTCCCCCACTATCCGCTGTCTCGGTGTTGTTCTCTGCACTTGGGCTCGTTGGGACTGGGCTTCATCGGAGAGGCATGGGTAATTACAGATCAACCCACATGCCAAATACACAAGTGAAAGTCCAAAATATAACTGCCCAGGTGCAACTTTCCGTCAATTAGTCATGTCTGTACAAATGCGCGCAGCTGGCTGGTGTTAAGGTTATCTTGTCCCAGCTGTAAATGCAGCGCCCGGGGGCTGCTTTTCCGTCGGCCTTCCTCCATCCATCGGCATGAGACCAGGATACACTTGAACTCAAAACAGGCATCGAGCATCCTTGCACATCCTGTCCCAGCCTACTGCGTCAGCTGAGTCGCAATGATACTTCGCGACGCTGATTCTTTCGCTGTCCTCGCCGACTGACCATTATTGATCGTTTAGGCGTGAGCTGCCGGGGCGGCGGCGGGAGCGGCTTCCTTGGCAGCCTCAGCAGCAGGAGCGGCGGGCGCAGCGGCAACAGGAGCAGCGACAGCGGGAGCAGCAGCAACGGGGTTGGCAATGTTGGCGCTAGTGAGACTCTGCTGGGCGACCTGGATGATGTTGGCCTGGCCGAGGGTGTTCTGGGGGAACCGGGCGTTGAAGCCAATGACATCACGGACGGCAGTAAAGGTTTGGGGCTGGACCATCAGGCGCTGAGTTGAGACGAGCCACTGAACACCCTCAGAGCAGGGAGGAGTAGTGAGGGAACCCATGTAGCTGCAAAAGAATTAGACATTGGAAATCAGAGGACTGTCAGACGTGGATCGTACCTTTGGAAGCTGCCGGCAGAGAGAAGAGTGACGACCTCCTGCATGTTCAGCGCGCCAGTCTTGGTGACAGTACCGGGCTCCTTGATGGCACCGAGGGAAGAGAAGACGGTCTCGAGAAGGCTAGACGAAGCAGCCTCGGCCTTGATCGGGTTAGTTCCCATCGCGGGGATAGCCTTCGGGGCTTCGGCCGCGGCTCCAGTAGCAGCGCGGCGGGCCAGCTTGGTGCGGCGCTCAGCAGTTGCGTTTCCTCCAGCGGGAGCAGCTTCAGCAACAGGAGCAGCCTCGGCGACAGGGGCGGCGGGGGCAGCAGCGGCAGCGCCCTGCTCCAGGTCGATGTAGGTACCAATGACGGCAATCTCCTGGTTGGCACCCTCGAAGACCATGTGCATCTCCATAGCCATGCTCTTTCCGGCGTCGAGATGCTCACTGGGCAAGTGGAAGTGGAACTGCTGCAGGGTGAAGTTGCTGCCTCCAACTTGCATCGATCCGCCCTTGGCGATAACCTCAACGGTGGTTCCTAGGTTCTCGAACTCGGTGCCATCGGCCATGTCGGGGATCTGGAGGTTGATGGAGCTTCCGGGGAGAACGTTGAAGGAGCCGGCCACCATGTCGATGGGGGACTGGGTGGTTCCCGTGGCGCACAGCTGGTTGGCAGTAGTATCCAGAGCGACCCAGTTCAAGGGGCCCTTGACGATATTGTTAGTATTGAGGTGTGCGGCTTCTAAGAGAGAAGAGAGCACTCACATTGCTGCCGGTGTAAGCAAAGTTGTTGACCTTGACCTTTCCCTCCTCAGCGCGAGGATCCAAGTGAGTTCCATAGGCGCACGAGGCCAGAACCTGGGAGATAGAGGCGGCGAAGAAGCCGAAGGTGATGAGACGGGAAGACATATTGAGCTAAAGGTAGGATACGGGACCAGCGCGTGGGGAGCCTACAAAGGATCGAAGGAAGGGAAGAATAGAAGCGAGTTACAAAAAAGTAGATTATTGAAGAAAAACGTATGACCAGCCCTCTAGGGGAAGAAACGAAACGAACGAGAAGAGAAGTTGAGGGTGAAGAAAAGACAGATGATGAAGATGAAGAACGAGATGAGCCGAGAGAAGGAGTATGTTTGCATCAAGATGGCATGATGTCTATATACTTATGATCTGTAAGACTGTAGTCGAGGGCTGGTTATCTTGATGATCTACCTCACAGGTCCAAGAATAGTATCAATAGGCAAGAACCCATGCGAAGATGGCCGGGGCGGATAAGCAGCGACGGACGGAATCATGGTGAGGATCTTGGCATGTGCTTCATCCAGGGTGTTGAGGAGCAGTGAGAGGCTCAAAAGGAAAAAGAGAACGGGTTGATGAATGAGGTTTAGGATTCCCTGTGTTTGGGGATGAGCGCCTTCGTTTCCCATGGTATCGCGGGCATGTTTCTGGCGCAGAATGGGAGGGGGGGCTTTCAAGCTTCTCCATCCAATGCGACTGCATGTCATCTGGACTATGGACCAGGATTGGTGATTGAGAGCAGGCGGCCAAGGCCGGGCGAGGCTATTGAGACGGAGGAGGAGGCTAGAAGGAGGGCCGTTTGGACAAGAGAGCGGAAGCCAGGGGGCCCTGCGACCCTGGTCGAGTTGACAGGATGGGAGTACGTCGCCAGGGTGAAACTGCCAGGCTCCGGAGGGTTGGACGGGGTTGTGGGGAATATGGCCACTTTATGAGTCTGGTGCTTGGCCAAGTCAACAGCTGGAGAGAAGACCCCTGCGATGCGCGTCCCACGAGTCTCAACGTGGGAGTTGATTGAAGTGACGGCTGTGGGAGAGAAGCGCTGGTTCGGACGGAGACGAAGCCCCCTTCCCAAAGATCATCTTAGCGATGATCTTGTTGAGACGACGGGCTGGATATCAACACCATCATGTTAGGTGATGCTGAATGACTGCATTTACCCAAGTGATTCCCAAGAAGCGGGAGGGTAGCTAAAAATAAGCATTTGGAAGGATCGACGACAAGAGCGGTGTTGGCCAAGTCGAAGCCGGAGGAATACATATGCGGGAGTGATGTCTAGGGGAAGACGGGAGTCAAGAATTGAGGCTCTTTGTCCAAGGCATCCAAGAGGATACCAAGAGTTTGGTAGGCGGGGAGCAGCAGCACCTGCCACTAGAGCACGAGACTCAGACACGGCCTGCCTGGGTAGGTACGCAGTACCTTCAGGTAAGGATGGAAGGTGCAATGGCAAGGTAAGGTGCAATGGCAAGGAGGGCTTTGGGTACGTATCTCTCGGATTTTCCCTCAACCACGTGTTACGGGCTGGCTGAGTAAGGCAGGAAAGGGAGGAAAGTACGGGGTACGGAGTATGCTGTGCTGCGTTATCCGTGCTTGCCTGCTACCTTACTCAAGAAGGTATCCGAATGTGTCTCCTTCCTCGGCTGAGTGAGGGCGTTAGAGATGTAAAGAAAAGCTGGTAGGTGCGATGCCTGCGTAAGGTATGGTCTGGATAGCAACTTTAGGTTGAGGTAAGGTGAGGGCAAAAAGTAGGTAAGGTAGCCCAGAAGATGCAAGCTCTAAAGAACCATCGTCTTGCTCTTACTCGTACGCGTGGCAGATATGGCAAGAGTAAGGTAAGATGCTGTGTAATGGCAGGAAGCAACCAGGGATGAGGCAGCCGTCAGAAAAACCTTGTTCACCTTTGGTAGCGCTCTAAACCTTAACAGCCTTTAAGCCATGCACGACCTCCTGTTCTTGCCTGTCTCTGTCTCTGTCACGCTGAGTCTGTTCGGACGACACAGGGGCATTCGGGTCCACTTTTCCCAACCGTCACCGAGTGGTGAGACGACGCATTGGACACACAGCAGCCAGTTCCAGACCGCAGCAGGAAAGAGCAAGTTAAGTTGACCGCGTGGCAAGACCCGGTGCGAAGCTGAAGCACCTCAGATGAAGCACGTTCCTGCCTTACGCATATTGCACTCCAGGTCACTGAGGTTCCTTCCTTCTTGCGTTGCAGCCAAGCTACGGCCCATGGATGACGACGGAAGAGAGCCCGACAACTTGTCTGACAGACACGCTAAGACTGAAAAGACGTTGGATCCTGTTGAGAGGTGAGAGGCTTGCGAGAAGGGATGACAGGAGGAAGGGGTAGGAGGAAGAAAACAGCTGATTTTTGCAGGGCCAAGAGCTTAAATGGCTGCCAAGTCAAACTGGGGGCGGAAGTGGAAGGGGTCAACTTGGTGATGGCTTGCGATATGTGAGCCGCCACCATGTGTCCTTGACAGCAGACGGGGAGGTTAACCTCAAGTACGGCTCAAAGTCCAGAACTGACTAAGCTAAGCGATGGAAAACTGCCAATGAGGAAGCGTCGTGATGTGGGAGAGCGCCTGGCCGCTGTGCACCCTAGCGTTCCATCCAGGCGGTACACCCACTGGAAACATCTTCCTTGCAACGGATAACTTACCTTGAACCAGGTTAGGTTACCCACGGTGTCCGCTAGGCCCCTCGCTTAATCCTCACTACAGCGCCTCTACCTGCTGTAAGGTAGGGAGTAGGCCGCCTAAGGTACCAATGGACCGCTTGAGGACTGGGCTGCGTTTGCGTTCGCCGGCCGCGCCTCTCGCCAAGTCTTGCACCTCCTGATTTCTTCTGGGCGCGTCTCACGCCTTTCCAAACTGCTGGGGCCTGCGACAAACCTCCACCTCCGCATCTCAACTTCACCAATTGTCTTCAACGACGTCGCCTGCGCGGTAGTATTCGTCTGCTCTTCAGCCCCGGTCCCTTCCCTTCTCTACCAGCTACGCCAGCCTGCGACTCAACCTACCTTGTTACTTGCCTACCGTCTACGGTCTACGGAGTCACGGGAGTAGGTCCTCAAAGTTCGGACTTCTACCACCCACGCAACTGTCCATCACCAATACCACGCCTCGCCGCGCCCCATTTGCCAGCCATGCCATCCCTCTCCGCGTTCCCGCCGACCGTCTCGACCTCCCCGTCGGCACCGCCTGCCTTCATCTGAAGCTTCTTGGCGCGCTCCAAACGTCAGACGGCCCCTCCTTTGGCGCCAAGTCCCAGCGTCTACCGGAACCGCGTCTGATGTTTTAGCGACGACATGGGAACTTGAGAAGCCATCCCCATCTCCTCGAGTCCTTTCAGGCTCACCGCTCACGGCTTCACCCCAGTATCTGCCTGCCGGCCAGCCTTTTGGCTGTGGTCCTAACTGAACGACCTGGTTCTCGATCCCCACAGAGAGCAGAAAGAGTTACCCTTCAGCTGGGAAGGCCTGACGCTCTGTCCCTCTTGCCCTCTGCCTAGACCACTCGACGGTCCGTCCTTGGTGTCCGGCGCGCAACTTGCTCAACTCGACATTGGCGCTGGTCTTCGCTTTCGCTATTTGTTTGGGACCCCATCTCTGCCGACGACGTGCCAAGTCGCCCAGCGTTTTCGTCTCCATCATCATCAAGAGAACTCAATCTGAATGCGACGTCGCCCATGAGGTCCAACGACAGTCTTCAGCAGAGTCGGCTTGGCGAATCCCGAATGCCGTCTTGGTGGCCAAGGACGTCGTCATCTCCATCATCACCAAGGGTTTCCAGCCAGTTTTTCTGCGACGCATAAACCACGCAGCTGGTGTCTGGTCATCGGCGAGCGTGAGCCAAGACGACTTCTCCTCATATTTCGTCAGCACCGCCCGTAACATTCGGCTTGTCAAGTTGTCACTGTCAGTCGGTTCATCCAACATCCGCAAGATCTGCAGTGTCTACGCTGTCGCTGTCACTTGACCCAGGATGAACCGCACCGCGGCTGGGACGTCTCAGCGAGAAACACTGGCGTTGATTCTCTCGCCACTCAAGATTCTGTCTACATGGAACTCGTGTATCGATTCTTTGGCTCCGAGCACATGCCTGAAGAGAAAGCAATGCGCCAAAAGGCGGCAAGCGAACGGACAATCGCCGCTCCTTCAGAACAATGATTCTATAAGCATGATGAAGCCGCGGCGACGGCACTCGTGACGGTGTCTTTCCGGAGTAAGTCGGCTTGGCTTGTAGCGAGGACAGTGAAGTGCCCCTAGGCATTAGAGTCATACTCCTTCATCGCAAAGGAGAAGTTGAGCTAGACATGCGCATCCCTCGCGTCCCTCGCATCCCGAAGCAGACCACTCGCCCCAATTCGGATGCCAGCTCTCTGCTCCGGTAGAGGTGGTCCGGAACACGCACCTTTCACACTGCGGATACCGATGTCGCCAAGCACTTACCGTTGCGTTGAGAGCAGTCGACGTCGTACTAGAACTCTTCTCCGCATGTTGCAACCTAAGCAAGCTTGCTTCTGCCCCTTGTTGTGAGACATCCTTAATTCTTCCAGGGCTGGAAATTAGCGATTGGTTCTGTCCTAGTCGCACTTCTCGGCGTCTCGACGTTCCATTGTGCCCTGCAGCACTTGGCACTTGGCTGCTTGTCCCGCCGTGCCTCTCCGCTCGCTAGTGCAGGCCTCTATTGTCCGCCGAGAGACACCAGCAAAATAAGCTTCTACTGCCCAGGCCCTAATCGCAATGAAGTGTCGACGGTTACCATAAGTGAACAACAACAAGCGAAAGAGTATCGAAAGCCTGGCGTCTAAACGTGGCGATGCATCTTTCCATAGCCAGCAATCGTATTTAAGGCAAGTGATATGCCGCCAAATGATTGTTTTTTTCCTTTCCTTTCAAGACCTTTCAGATTCTGATCATGTCGTGTACGAATACTCAGCCCATGATCGACGACTCGAAACGTGGAGACCCCCTTGATGATGGAGAGCGCGCGCGAGACCCCAGCCGCGTATCACGAAACATTGGTTCATTCTCGCCAAACTTGCTTATTGGTGGACACAGGAGGCGAGGAGGCTTTGCGAAAACTTGAAGACTTTCCGAATCATCTCCTGACGGATCGTTTAGGGTTCGTTGTGTCTGCTCGTATCCCGCTTACTCATGGTCTCGTGGATCGCACAAGAGTCATTGACGCGAATTCGGATAAAAGATGACGCAGAATGTTATGGCGAGCTACTGTCTAAAGAGTTCTATGCAGATGACTTGGCCGTCACTCCCTCACCGTAATGATTCTGCGTCCTCTTTGGGTGTCCTCCAGGCTGCAGGTCAGCGTGCAAGCACTTTTTGCACTAACAATCTCCCAACTCTTTATTTCCCCGACGGGATAGACTACACCCCGAACCGCTGGCCAAACCAGATGTTAATCCGGACTACGTCACATACCCTTTCGTCAAGACAACCCTTTTGGCCCCGAAATCGTACACTTTTGTAGAAGTAATCATTCATCATGTTCGAATTTTTCTGATAACAAGGGGTGAGAGGAAGTTGACATTCATTGCATCCTTAGCCCCTGAGATGAGGTACCTTATGTCGAGGAGAGATTTTGAGAACTGCAAGAGAGACACTGGCCTCCACTAACTCGCATGACCGGAGGGAGGCCCACTAGCCACCGGCCGACGACCGCGGAGAAGTGGAGTATCTTCGCTTACCGGATCGGGAATGCGAAGGGGCGCAAAACTCCACCTCCACTTTCCACGCCCGCGCCCGGATGTTCGGCGTTCATAGCTGGAAGTTGGAACACACGAGTTCCCCCTCTGGCTTGAAGTGGTCTCGCCAACGCAAGTGTTGAGACTTTGATATGATTGGCTAAGTCATTGATGGAATGCGCAATGATAATACGCCCATCCATAAGTCACCTTAAGGTAAGGTACCTTAGGCAACACTACAGATTGATGCTCCGATGGGCTTGCATGTGGTGTTAGTTCCTTCCCATTAGCGCGTCAGCAAACTCCGCTTTCTACTATCCCGGTGGTGCTAACCCGGTGAGGAATGCGAAGCTATGCGAACCTCCTGCGAATGGTGTATAAAGATGATGAAAAGGCGATGAATTTCAGTAGATTTGGTCGCGCGCTCTCTTACGACACAAGTCAGCTGTTACATCTTTCCTCTTCTTGAATCAAACTTTTTGGTAAGAAAACCAGTCATAAAAGAAACATACAAACCAAAAAAAAAAAAAAAAAAAAAAAAATACACAAAATGGTCACCCGCGCCCAGGTCCAACACTCCAACGCCGCCCTCACATCCCAAACCGCGCCCCGAACGGCCGTCTTCCTAGGCGGCACGTCAGGCCTCGGCAAGCTCACCCTCATCGAGCTGGTATCCCTCGGCTTTCCCATACGGGTCTATATCGCCGGCCGCAAAGCCACGGAGCCGGCGATGAGACCCGCGCTCGAGGACCTGCGGCAGAAGAACCCGCGTGCCGAGCTGATTTGGCTCGAGGCCGAGGTATCGTTGCTGGCGGAGACGAGAAGAGTTTGTGAGGTCGTGAAAGCGAAAGAGACGGGTCTCGATTTTTTGTGTTTGACGGCTGGGTATGCGCCCTTTGGGGGGCGGAATGGTGAGTTTTTGAGAGTGTGCTTGGCTTGTTTTTGTGCAAGATGAGAGGGGGTATATGGATGAGTAGAGTGAAGATACTAATATTGGTTTAGATACCGCGGAAGGGATAGATGTCTGCCATTCCCTGGAGTACTACTCCCGCATGCTCGCAACCCTCCACCTCCTCCCCCTCCTCCGCGCCTCCGCCTCCGCATCCTTATCCTCCCCCGGCCCAAGCCCGTCCCCGCGCGTCCTCACCGTCCTGGCAGGCAGCATGCTCTCCACCCGCATCGACGCAACAGACCTCAACCTCACCCGCTCGTCCCCCAGCAACACCAACAGCAGCAGACTCTTCGGCTTCAAGACGCAGACGCACATGTCAATCATGAACACCCTCTTCCTAGACAGGCTCGCCTCCGACCCGGCCAACGCGGGAGTTTCTTTTGTCCATAATTGGCCTGGCGCCGTGGACACGGGGAACATGGCGCGGTATCACACGCCGACGTGGTGGAGTCCGTTCCCGCTGACGAATTTGCTGAGGCCGTTGTTTTTGGTGATGGGGTTTGAGGAGAGCGAGGCGGGGGAGAGGCATGTTTATTTGGCGACTTGTGGGAGGTTTGGTGGGAAACCGAAAGGGGAACAGGAGGGGGATGGGAAGGAGAAAGGATGTAAGAACACGAGGGGGGAGGAGGGGAGGAATGGGTTGTTTTTGGTCAATCATAAGGGGGAGGTTTCGTATAGCGAGACTGCTTTGGTGGAGTTGAGGGGGGATGTGCAGGGGAAGGTGTGGGATTTGACGATGGAGATCTTGGGGCCGTATTTGTGAGAGGTTTTGGGCGATGATTTCGAGGGAGGATATCATGAGGTGTTTTCGGTTTGTTCTTTAGGCATTAATGGAAAATATGGATGAACTTAAACTGGGTTTTGAGTCTTTTGAAAAGGATGTGTTCGAAGATGACTCAATTTGATGGGACATTATTTGGCTATCGCTCTGTCCATAAGCTGGATGGAGGCTCTCCATAGAAGTTCCCTTGAGAGTGATATTGCCTAGGGCCTTTCAAAAGGCCACGAAAGTCAGGACTTGCTTCAATCAGGATATTCGAAAGCTTCGCTAGCTATATTCTTCACAGAGCAAGGGTCCTTCATCAAGTTTTGACTTGCTGAGTTTCCATGGATGTGGCTGACCATTCAAAAACCACCGAGCTCTGATTGGGAATCAGGTACGACGATTAAAAGATGAACGACCTACTGTCGATGACACATTGTCTAGGTACGGGCCTCACCTCTTTGGTCTATGAAGTCTACTTCCCAAGTTACCGGCTTATACACCCGAATCCATTGGTTTTAGTCCTTGCGAGATACAAGTGGCATAGTGAAATCAGCTTATCAGGTGGCTCTTTTACAAGGCAGCCACCGAATGCCAGAGCTCGAGTCTCTATTCACTATAAGGACAAAAGGCAAGGTCTAAATGTATCCCACAAGCTGAGGGCCATCTGACTGGGCATTTTGGACGCTTTCAAATAAGGTAGGATAAAGAGGCGCATCCAGCTCAACTCATACTCATCATGGGGTACTTGAGGCACACTCCGGTTTATTTCATTGTACCATCGGCTCATTTCATAGGTATGACCACTAGACACATCATAGAGTCTCGTTCGAGGACAACGGGCTTCAAAGCAAAGCCGAAGGCGATACCTTGAACACTGATCAATCTCTCAACTTCGCAGCACTGAAGCAGGTCGATCAACTTGAAGCACATCTGACTCGGAGCTATTCCCAGAACCTAACTCTTCTCCAGCCCTTGGAAGAGCCCTTGAAAGGTTGCTGCAGCGTTAAGTAAGTCTCACGTCCACAACCCAATCATGCGTCGTTTCTCTCGACTTAAGCTTATTTGCAAACTCGCTCTGTCTGAGACAAAACGGGCCTATCCGGCGCCGGCCGGCTTGTCGGCGTCTGACATGGTAGGTGGGGTAGGAAATCGGAACTCTTTAGATGCGGAGTAGCAATCAACGCCGGCGCGAGCTACATATACCTTAGCGTTGGTAGGTGGGGGACCCAACGTCAGCGCCATCGTTCGCAACGGCTCCAAGCTTGGCTGCGACTTCACATGCACGTAATAGCGTCGGGGTAGCAGAGAGAGGCTGGGAGGCTTTGGAGATTCGGAGAGCTAGATATGCCAGGCAGTTCGGATAGAGGAGGGGCAAGATGGAGGGTGGGATGGAGGGGCGAAAGGGTCAGCCCGCAGCAGGATGCAACCCTGCAACCCAAGGTCATTCGGACGGAACTTTCTTTGGTTGTTTGCATATCGGCCTGCTCATCGAGACATCATCCCGGGTTCATCGTGTATAATCTCTGTCATCGTCGTCGCTAACGGAGAAAGCCAACACCATGCCCTCCTCGTCCTCGTGACAAAATCGCCGCCGGGGATCTCGACCACGTCATCAGCGTGAGGCTCAAGCCGATCAAACCCAGTCAAGATAAGAGATCTACTCCAGCTCCCACCCTCAAAAGCATTGTCCTCGTCGAGCCTTGTAGAGAACAAGGCCGGGCGAGCAAACCCGCACCCGGCATCATGCCCTTCCCAGTCCTCTCCAAAGAACCCATCCCAGGCCTGTCCCTCTCAGCAGCGGGGCTCGTCGCCCTCGCGGACCTACAGACCATCGCCAACCGTACCGCGCTGACGGGCACGTCGTCCTGGTTCGACGCACTGGTCCTCGCGCCGGGGTTGCATTATCAGCAAGCGGCCGACAGCGTCGCGGGGACCAGCGGTGTAGTCACGGCCCAGACGTCCGCTGCACTCGGCTACGGGGGTGCCGCCGCGGGAGGAGGCGGAGGAAACGGCGGTGCCGGCATCTTCGGTACGCAGGCACTGCCCGGCGGGCGGAAGAAGGATGTTAAGGTGACGAATCCGGGAATGCTGTTATTTCTTTCCCGACTTGGGGTCCAGGAGGAACGGGCGCGGGAGAAGGATCTCAAGAGGAGGAAGCTAGCCGGCGGTGGTGGGATCGAGGCTTACGGGACCGGAGTAGTAGGAGGCGGAGGAGGCAGCGGGGAAAAGATCATCACACTCGACGTCGGCACCCTCTCCACCGGCCGGAAACGGAGCCGGAGCCGGAATCGACGCGGTCGAGCTTTTGAGCACGGTTCGGAGTGGGAGTTTGAGCGGGGGAGTCACTTGCTGTACCTCGCGAGTCCGGTTCTTACGTTTGCTGCGCTGACTATCATGATTTTACTAGCAGACTGTAAGTCTTTGTTCCAAATTTTCCAGCATCTCCCATTTCCTCCTGGGTCTTTGGCTCCCCCCTTCTGCATGGTAACCCACCTTGATCGTTCGATTTCCACCAAACCCCCTTGATCGCGATGTCTTCTCCCACAATCAATCTCAAACTAGATCTCGGTGGTGGAGCATCCTTTACAAGCCGAACTAATGTCCACAAAGGGTGGGGTCTCGCATCGATCCTAGCACTCATCACATCCCGCCTCTTAAATATCTACATTATCAAACAACGCACCCCTCCCCCTCCTCCTCCTCCTCCGCCGCCGCCGGCCACTGCGTTCTTCGCTAGCAATGGCAACGGCAACGGCGGCATAGCCATATCGTCTTTACCACCAAAACTCACAGAGTACCTCATCCCCCTAACCCCCTCCCTCAAAATTCGCATGCGCGGCCCAGCAGACGACCTCGCCGCCCTGACGACAGACGCCTGGCTCCTCGCAAAGACGGCCGTGCAGGGCTACCTCGAGGCGACGGCCAAGCTGGCCGTGTACGTCGTCGCCATCTTCAGCGGCAACGTCTCGCAGGCGGGGAATCTGGTGCTGCTTGTGCTCTTGCTGGGGAGCGCGGGCTTGTTGGGGCTGAGTAACGGGTGTATGAAAGGGGTGAGGGGAAAGGGGCGCGTGGCGAGGGTGTGGCATGGTGATGATGGTGATGGGCCTGGTGGTGGACGTGGTGATGGAGCGGGAAGTGGGGGGCGGGCTGGGAGGGGGGAGATGGGGAGGACGACCAGGCCACGCGGCGGGTGGAAGGGAGATAAGGAGGAGGGGGATGGGATTGGCGATCCGGATTGGGATTCACAGGTCGGTAGGGTTGTGAGGGATCCCTATCCTTTTGAAGGGAGTGTTGAGTATTCATAGTATAGAGGGATGTGGTGAAGCTGAGGTTGATTTGAACCGTGGGTAAATGTAAACGATGCCTGTCAGACGTTGCAAAGTGTCATGGAGTTGGACTTCAGACTTGAGGTGATGTCTATGAAGGTGTATACTAAGATACTTCTACTATGTGAACATCTCTCCTATATCGGAGAAGTAAGGCTGAGATCGCTCAAGGCCAGAATAGAATCTCGGCTACTGCTAGTACAGAGACTATATGCATTTGCGTATCACGACTTCCAGATAGACACTCCTCAAACTCTACCAGCCGCCATCGTGAACCCAGAAGTAGAATCTCCTCCCGGGGGAATCAACAACAAAAGAGCAGACATTTCGCCCCTTCCCTCTCCCCCATTACCTCACTATCCTTGGAAGCATCCTTCAACAGCATCACCACTCATTCGCATGATAGCTCACCACCCGCCGACTAGGATTCCTTCTCCTCACAGCACGCACAAGAGACCATGGCGCAGACGGTCGCAAATTATACTCATCCCTCTCAGCGCACCTTCTCCTCCATTCCGTATTCGCCAAGATATCCCGCGCAACGCCCCACCGCCCCAGCTCACAGGCGTCCTTGAACTCCCGCTCCCGATGCTGCTGCTCCGTCATGCCGCCAGGCAAGAGGCTGTAATTCGCCTGCAGCGCGAAACCCAGAGCATTCACCCGCGTCGTCATATTGATTTTGTAGCGATTGTTTGGCTTCAAGGGCGAATCCGGGGGCGGCGTCCGGATCAGGTTGCGGTCGATGGAGCTGTGTGTCGTGCGTTGGACGTCGGCGCCTCGGTCTAGTAAGAGGCGGAGCATCGCAGTATCACGATTAAAGGCCGCCCAGTGGAGGGAGGTCAAGCATGACCCCTTAGGTTCCGGCTTGCCGTGGAGAATCTCGTTGGCTGCGAGGGACTTGTCGATGCCGTCGTTGGCGTTGATACCCGCGCCGAGGTCCAGGGCTGCGTTGACTCCTTCGGGGAACCCTCTTATTGTGGAGAGGATGAGGATGTACGAGTATAACCCGCCCGGATCTTTCTGTGAGGGCGTGCCCATGCTTGCGTTTGTGTTACGGGAGAAGTTGCTGCGCACGTGGGACTCGAGGATGGGTGTGATCAACTCCCGGAATCTGTCGTTGAGGAGGCCGAGGTAGAGATGCCCCGCGAGGGCTTGCATTTTCGGCTTTTGAGCCTCGGGCTGGAGGACGTGCTCTATGATGACGAGCAGGACCTCCGTTGGCAGGTTCTGGAAGCGGTTGCGCAGACGGCCGAGTCCGTTTGATGATCGCCATGTTGGGCGATGGAGAGGTTGGCAAGTTTGTTGCTGCTCGTGTGTAATCGTCATTTCGGTTCTATCCTGTCTTGCGCACTTGCGAGATAGTGGAGAGAAAGGTAAAGGGAAAGTCTGTGATGTGAATGCGGTGGTTATGGTGAAGATGACTGCTGTGTTGAATTATTCGAGACTTACTTTGTAATAAATATCCCCTTTTGGGAGATGGGTATTGAAAAACAACGAAGATGGGTAAAATGTCAAATCTTTCGGAGACGGTAAGCTTGGTGGCTGATTTGTCCAGCAAGTTAAAGTAGGTATAGTTAGTACATTGAGGTCCTGGCTGGATCACACTCTTGAACAGTACTTGAAGGCACAAGGTAGTCATCCTCGTGATCAATAGCGCTCGACTGCTCGAAGTCTTCACCACCCTCGTCGGTTTGGTCTAGAGGCTCGTCGTGAGACTCATAGCGGTTGTACTCGAAGGTAGCTCCGCATAGTCGGGCACGTAGTCAAGCCTGGAGGGGGCGGGGGGGCGTACTGTTACCCTCGTAGTCGTCCTCGATGAGGGAAAATCCGCCAAAGTCGTTGTGAGACTCGTAGTTGCGGAATGTAGATATTGCAACGAATTGCACGGAACGCTGACGAGAATCAGGCAAGATTCAGCTTCTGTTCAATACCAGACCTGCCTTTGCAAACACCTCTTTTGCTCCCAGTTAACCCTTCTGTTACAACTCTGAATCACGAATGCATGATTCAGTCCATCGCAGACTATCAGATAGTATGAGAACTATGCAAACAGTACAGACATCCTAAAGCGTGTCCTACGAATAAAGTTCTTCGGAATATCTTATGGACCAAAAACTCACTCGTGGCATCTTCCCAACTCTTCGTCACCGACGTCACTTCATCTTGAACATCAACTAATGCACATCGAGACAAGTGTGAAAGAGGCGTGTGGCCATTTGATTCCCTTCTGCCTATTACCCGGTAAAAACACCATGCTAAACTCCCCCCAGTAGGCTATTTTGTCTTTTATGACTGACCAACCCCCTTTTCTACTCCACGCTTGAAAGACAAGAAATCAGGGTATATATACCGAATTCCATAACAAGACTCGCGCGCTCTTCCCTGACCACCCAATCCCTGAGCGCCTCATGAGTACCGAGTGTGTCTCAAGTCCGCTGACAGAGAAAAAAAGACACAAACAAAACAAAACTCTAGTGGTATAACGAAGATGGTAAAAATATTGTTACAAAGACCGATCATTTGTCGTGCTCGGCGATTCCTCGCAGCACTTGACAATCTCGCACAGAGATCGCATGACGAGCGGATCAACCTCGTTGATCAGGTCGCCTCCGGCCATAGACCTGCCGGACCCCCCGGCGCGCAACGTCGTCACGAGGTGCGCGATACACCGCGACAACCCCTGCTGCAGCTCCCGAAGGGGGACATCGGAGACCGCAGCAGAGTGTGCTGCCGGCGTCATTGTTGGCACAGCAGGAGGAGCCGGCGTTGGAATCTGACTCTGTCGTGATGCTGAACAGGTCCGGAGGCCGAGAAACATGCTGGATCGCTTCCGCAACGACTTTGGCGGCGGTGGCGATGTCGTCATGTCCTGCATCCCTTGCATGCCCTGAAGGCCGAGTAAGGTGGCGGCCTTCTTGGGGATGGAGTCATCCGTGATGACACTGCTGCTGCTGGGGCTAGCAGGTGTGGGAGGTCTCGGCTGCGACTGTGTCGTACTGTTCTGAACCATGGGCGCGAGGTAGTTGTACGCGACGATGTGGGCGTAGAGGGCGTCGCAGAGCCAATCTGACCCCTGGGGGAAGACGCTGCGAATACGGGACCACTGGGGTGGAGCAACGAGGGTAGCTGTTGACGGCGATAGGGAGGCAGAGGAGGGGAGATCGAGGTTGGAGGAGGACGCGCCGCGGGAGCAGCAGCGACGGTTGAGATTGGTAGTGCGGCGGGAGCTGAGCCAGCGCCAGCGTTTCGGAGACGCGGGCGGTGTGTCTGGGCGAAGAGCCTCCGGAGCGGCTGGTTGTCTGACCTTGCGGGAATAGCTACGGATCGTCTCGATGGAGAGGCTGGAGCAGAGAAGCGTTGTCTCGGGAAAGCATGTCACGGAGACGCGGAGAGATTCCATCACATTGGGAGGAAGAGGAATACGGCGGCTTTGGTCGTCCGAGGGAGGAGGCGGAATGTCGATCGGGTCCTCGAGCCAAGTGTATGATGTGCTAAGAGACGATGTAGGCCGAGACCTTGTTTGAGCCTGAGATCGGGGACGAGGAGTCGGTGTGGTGTATGCTCTTGAAGGGCCAGCGGCGCCGGAGCGGGAGGTCGGGCGCGGTGTCACAAGTAGAGGGGGAGCCAGGCCCTGGCGGGGAGTTGAAGTCGGCGTGTCATGCGCATCGAGGTACCGGAACCATGGCTCCAGTTCCTCCTTGAGGTCGGAGATAATAGAGCTACGATCCGTCCCCGGCGCGACGATGTGATCGGGTTGCCTTTGCCGCGAAGACGCATGCGAACGCGAACGAGACCGAGTAGAGATAGCCTTGCGGGCGTCATCGGTGAATGAGACGCGGTGTTTTAGCGATGAGCAACGCGTGGGCACGGCGATGTCGACAGAGTGAAGCGAATGAATCGAATGCATCGAATGGCGGTTCTGCTCCTTGGCGGCAGCAGCAACGGCCGCCGCCGTAGGGTCTAGGTGCAGACTCCGGGCCCGGCTGGTGGGCCGGGTGTAACCCTCAAACGGGTTGGACAGCCGGCGCGTAGTGGCTGCGGCATTGGCGCTCTTGGCCCGGGGCGGTGATTCGTTGATGGACCGGTCGCCTAGTCGGGATAGCGGCCGCACCGGCTTGATGGGTGTCAAGACGGGCGATTGGACTAGGCTCTTGCCGAGCTCGGGATGATCCGCCGGCGCGTCTGGCTCAAAGTCCATCCAGCTCTCCAAGCTTCCGTCTGCTTCACCTCCAAAGGAGACGACTCGTTTTTGCGACCAAGATGACGCGATCACGGGTTGGCTTGAGGCGGAAATGGTGGTGTCTGCAGTGAGAACAGAATGTTGGCGAATGTGCGGTGATTCGGCGGCGTCGTCTTCGCCGTCGAGGTCACCCCCGGCCATGCTAAAGGAGTCACCGCTCGAGCTTGAAGCGGCGTCTGAAATGTCATGGCGGCTCGCATCGCTGGCCGAGCTTTTCTCGTCGATAGCACCTAGAGGCTGGAATTGAGCCACTCCGTTGGGATGACATGGTGCGCCGAGGACGGAAGGAGGTTCAGCAGTGTCGTGCCAGTCGTCTTCGTCCGAGGCGAGAGCAGGCGAGGGCGCGCCGGCAGTCATGTTCTTGGCGGCGAAGATGAGGGCAGAGAACTCAAGGTCCTGGGCCAGCAGCTCCGGCAGGTTGCAGTCCATGGTGGGTTCCGCGGCTTCGGCCATGACGCCGGCTCGGATGCATAAACGCTCGGGTTGGTATCCGTAGGAGAGGTCGGTATGCGGCTGCGAACGCGTGTGATGACTGTGGTGATGGTGGTGTGGTTGAAACTGGGTTGGCAGCGGCGACGAGACAGGACGACAGATGATCGGCTGCGGGCTGAAGATGGAGCTAGAGCTAGAGCTAGATCTGGAACTTGAACTGCAGTTGGAGGAGCTGGCGTTGGAGCTGTTGCTGGAGCTGGAGGGCAGGGTCAGTGGCAAGAGGTTTTTCATGCTCCGGACGGAGCGTCTTCGCCCCAGGACCGGCGGACGGGATGTTTTAAAGGTTGTTGGAGAGATGTTCCTTGCAGGGAGGGCCTCGGTCGCGTGTGGGGCAGGGAAGGGAGCTGGAACGTCTAACGCGAACATGGGGTGCATGCCACATGGGTTGATACTCATGCCATTGGGCGAGTCTCTGAGAGAAAAGGGGAGAACCTCCAAGAGCCAGGGGTGGTCGTTGCTCACGAGGATGCTGGCCGCTTGGGAGCTGCTCAGCCTTTAAGCTGCCAGGGCTGACGACAGGGAAGAGGATGGGAATGGGCCACGGGCGACGGGCGTGTAGCCGTGTCTGTGTACCACAATGCTCCAGCGACGATGGACACCCGACTGCTCACGTCTGTGGGCAATGGGCAGAGACGACGGAGCAGTAGGGCAGAAGAAGGGAATGTCGCTAGTAGGGATCCGAGGGAGGACCTTGTTGTTGTTCGATTTCCACTGCTTCTATCCTGCTTCTACGAGAAGGGAATCAAGGGGGGAGGTATCCGTACGGTACGATGTAGTATATCTCACTACTTCGTATACAAAAGCCGAAAGGACGATTGTGTGGTCGGATCCGGGATTCCCAAAGAGGGCAGGCACTCTGTGACCGTTGGAGAGTATCCGTAGTGGAAGACTGAGAAAGGGCCCACGACGTGACGAGGGAGATGAGATGAGATGAGAAGGGGGGTGTAGCGGGAGAGAGCTCCGTCTCCGAATACCTCGAGGGTGACGGCAAGGGATCGAGAATGAGAAAGATTGCTTCCCAGAGATTGCCGGAGGGGAAAGCTGCGTATGCCGTGACACCTCGAGGGCCACAACAACAATAATTAATCAATGTAAGTGCGATACACGTTGTCGGGCTTGCTGCACCATCTCAGACAACCGACACGGAGGGAGACTATAAGTATTCTATAGACCGTAGGTCCGTAGGACGACCAGAATGCTGACGGCCATTGTTAGTCGTGAGAGTGAGACACAAATTCGCCAGGCATGGTGCTTTTCGCCCTTGCGTCGTCCGCACCCCTACTGTGCATGTGTAGTCTGTACAGAGTGGCAGCCAAGGCCGTCCCTTGGCTTTGGTGTTCTTTTCTTTTCACTTCCGGGGAGTGCAGAGTCTGCGCGAACCACAGCATAGGTACCACCCGTGCCGTCCACTTTGCGTTCCGGATACTCCATGATACTTTACTCTTGCCGCGAGGCCATTGCGATTTGCGAACCAGTGAGGGAACCAGTCCAGCGGGACTCCGGAGCTCACGGGATGGAGACGCCTAGAATGGCCGGGTCAGGGGCAGCATGCCTCTTAGCGTTGTCTATTGAGAAGCGAGTAACAAACGGCAAGCATCGCGTCCCCGATTTTCGGTCCACCGAAAGAACAATTACAGCTTGGGTGTCCGGACGAAGTATGTATACATAGAGTAACCGGTATCCGTAGCCTAGATATGCTCCGTACCCGTATCGTCGGACTGTAGTCTGTCGAACAGTGGAAGAAAAAGAAGAAAAAGCAACGTAGGTGGATGTGGGCGAGGACCTCTTGTGCCTTCAATAATGCTACGCTGGTAGTGGGCTCTCTGTGCATATCTGCGCTGCATACGGCAGTTCGCTGCCACACGGTTGCAGAAGCAATATTGGACTTATTTGGCGTCGAAGCTTGGAAGGTGGGCTGGCGTCTGATTCTGTCTGAAGCATGCTCTTCGCCTGTGAACTGTCATTAATTGTCCCGACCCGAGTGCGTGTTCATGACACATGGCCGTGTCCACCGTGACCTGTACGATGGAGGCTTAAACGGCTGCGAGATGGAGGTTGAAAGAGTTTTCTCCTCGAACGAGTTGTCACCTCCGCGAATAATATCCACCACGTTGCACTGGGGTTTCCGCAATCAAATGTTGGTGAAGCATGACACAGAAGAATCGATCACAAAATCGAGTCCCGAGGGATCGAAGCGAAGGGTCCCCAAAAGAACAGACTGGACTCCAAAAAACCGTCCAACAACCCGCAACCAACGACCAACGCGGCGGATCAGACCCCTGGCAGGCCTCAACGAAGCCCCATCGCGTATTCCATGTTAGTGCCACCGGCCCAGGGCGGCCGAGGCGTCTGTGTTGCTGCGTCTGCAGCCTGCATCTTGTATCCGTACACAGTACTCCATATCCGCATGTGTTGGCAGGCCTTGTGCGGCGGCACGCACACGATCGTTGCAAATACAGCAGCTTGCAATGCAAACTGTAGCACAGGGGGTCCTGACACCTGCCTGAAAGGCTTGCAGTTCTGTTTCTCCTGCTATTGTCATTTCCTCTAATGACAGTATCGGTGACCACCAAGTCTCAGTAAGTGATTTCTGCGGCAGATGGCAGCTTTCTGTCTCGGCACTGCCTGCCTGGGTTTGTCCCATGTGTGTGTCTTTGGCGTGCTCATGTTTTTGTATGCAGGCTCGATATGTGGGTTGTGTATCCGTACTCCGTACGGTACGTTGTGTGTGTGTGTGTGTGGCAACTTGGATCGAGTTGTGCGAGGGTCGTCTCTCGGCCCTCCCTTTTTTGTTGTCCCCTTCCGGATTGACTGGCCCTGGCGAGATCAACAGGAGATTGAGGGACGGCGCAGCAGACCAGCAGAGAGTTCAACCGTGATAGGATAGCGAGAGGGTCAAGTCCCTGGCATCGTGCTGTATAAACCAGGTAGACCGGCGATCTGGTTCCCTCGCCGCGCGCTCGGATGTCTGAGAGTTGGGGTACATGAACATCGCAGTGTCGACCTTTGCTCAATTCATTGTTTCCAAGGATTATCAGCAGAACGCCTTCTGCCGTCGTCCAGTCTGACAGACTGACAGACTGACAATCTGTACGAAGTACGTATGTCTTGTTTCCTCGTCATTGATGATGTGAAATTGAAAGGTTGCATCGCATGCCATCTGCCGTCTTCGCAGGTCGCATGCGTCGCGCACTCTGCACAATGTTGCAATTTGTTGACGCATCCTATGTTTGCTGCTCCTCCGGCTGTTGAGAAGACAGGGCCCCAGCAGGTCATCATTGGATTAAAATGCAACGTCGATTCGTACCCTCCCCCGGCTGTTCAGGGCAGTGAGCAAGGGTCAGAGTCTGCATGGACCAGGGCATGTAAGCCCAGCAAGCTGTCCCTGGACAAATTTGAAATTGACAGCCCAGAGCCAACCAACTTGAGAGATCGCGACTACGTACGCGTTTCTGGATGGAGCAGTCGAAGAGTCGGAGGGCGGCTGGCAATCTTGTGACGGGTTGATGACCTGCTTTGGACAATCGTCATCTACCAAACAAGAGGATCGTGAGGGACGCAATGGGTCCGCAGGCTCCCTTGCCCTCGTCTCGTCTCAAATTCCAGAAGGGGCGCCATTGCTGATGTCGTTGCCCTATCAAGCGAGGCATGTGAGGTACTCTGCAGATTACCGGCATATTGAATCAGTGAATCAGGACCGAGCACAGGTATTCGTACGTGCAAGGCCACGGCTGAAAGCTTGGGTATCCGTAGCAGATTGCGGGATGCTTCCATCCCCAACTGTCAAGAATCAAGCGGCAGTAACCTGCAGGCCTCCTGTTGCCGAGATGCAGATGAATTGTGATTGTATCATGGATGCAGATGTCAGATGCAGCCGGGGCGTCACGTCAGACGGATGCCCGAGACCCAAAGCACAGAGCTGACTAGATAGCCGGCGATCTTTTGATGAAAAAGAAAAGACTGGCGCGTGGCGGTGAGTGATACGAACAGGAGGCGGTTGAGGCGGTATCAAGCATGTAAGACAACAGGAAGCTCAAACTTCAGAGTCTTGCTTCGTTGGCGGCTTGTGAAAGCGAAGGATTGTCTATAGGTAGTAGATTCCCCGCTAGAAACCAAGGCCGAAGGGTGGAACTGGAAGAGATTGGCGAATCAAGACAATAGAGTGTGGAGTCTGAGACAGGCTTCGTGGCGTCTGCTACGCAGTAGAGGGGCGAAAGGAGAGACATGTCTTGTGAAAAAACATGGCATGGACAGATGAAGTTGAAGTGGTGTCGTTTGATGGTTGGCGATGATGTTGCAAATTCACGGCGTGCAGGAAGTAAGGGAGCTCCAGCTTAGCTGCACCTGCCAAGTTGAAGCTGCTGCCCTGTGCGCTCCTTCCCTCCCATAAGCCAGACCGCGTGGAGACCGTTGTTAGTGTCTCTAGGGAGAGCAGTTGGCGTTCTGAGAGCTCCTTCTCTGCTGTAAGGGTGAGTTAGTGGCTGAATTATAGGCAAGCTACAGGTCAACCCCCTCCGTGGCGCCTGCGCGAGACAACGTCTAGTGGCCATCAGTTGTTAGCGTATCTTCTAGCTGCTCTATTCGCACTATCAACTGCACTGCATGACTGCCAATAGGCCCTTGGCGACCTGAACCCAGGGGGCCGCTTCCGTGGTGGGGCCGTTTCTCGATTGCTATCGATAACGCACCTCGGGAAAAGTGGATTCGAATTTTTTCATCGTTCTTCTCAATGCGACATGCAGCCGGGTCTTCAGCCTCATCACATCTCAAGCTCAACTTCTCGTTATCAACTTTCTTAAGTCTGATTTTTGGCTTTTCCAGTCTCAACGCCACAAGCACACCAGTGTGTCATAGACGACTCGAAGAAGGAAACGTTGCTTGGTACTAACGCCAGCTATTGGTCCTGTACTTTCGCTCCCGCCCTGGCTCTTGCTCTGCCTCTCGCGTTCGCACTTTGAAAACCTGGAGAGATCTGAATCTAGTATCAAGCCCTTCAACGTGGTTTCCAAGACTCGATACCTTACTTCGCCTCGACGGATCGACGCCACGCCTATCTCGCAACCTCGTGGCACTGATTCACTTCCCGAGCACGAGGACAAAGTTTTGTTCACCTCGTGGCTCTAGGCATCGTCGGCTTCTATTCTCGAACCCTGCCGTCGATTCGCCTGGTCTCTTTCACCCCTTGCGTTCTCTCACCCGAGCATCCGGAGTCACAGCCGCTCTCAGGTAATCTCTACAGTCTCGGATTCCGACGAGCCCGCGGCCTCTTCGGCCTTTACCACCTCTTCCGGATACCGCCTCTCTGTCACTCACCTCTCCACCATGTTATCGGAAGAATTCTACTCCTGTATCTGCGGCCCGCCTATTGCGGCAAACACGGCCGTATCCAAAGACATCGGCATCTACGCCCATACTCTTAGCCCCAGCTACACCGTCAAGTCAACTCTCAAGAGAAGTGCTACCCCGGCCCACTGCTTAGCTATCAGTGACTCGCATGTCTTTGCCGCCCAGCACGAAAAGTCCCAGGTCCACGTCTACTCAAGATCGCGGGGCATCCAAGAAACAGTCGTTACCTTTCCAGAACGCATTCGGAGCTTGGCGTTGATTGGCGATGTCTTGGCGTTAGGCACCTCCGAGGGCAGGTTGATCCTGTGGGAGGTAAATATTTCCTATTCCCGGATGCAATTCCAAACGTCTTGTTGTGGCTAACGAAACAACAGACATGCACTGGTCGCCAGCTGGTCACACCACCTTGCCACGTCCAAGCCGTTTCGTGTCTGGCCGTCACGCCCTATCACATCCTTACAGGCTCCGAAGATTCCAACATTCATGTTTGGACAGTCTCCCGTCTGCTAGAGCTAGATGCTTCTGTGGAGAGTGAGCCGGACCGTACGCTCGCCAACCACAGGGCTGCCATCACATCGCTCGCTGTCAGTGGTAGTGTCAACCCGGAAACCAATATTTGCGTCTCATCCAGCAAAGACAAGACTTGCATCATCTGGAACTATCAAACGGGCGATGTTCTACGTACACTATTGTTCTCCACAGCTCCGCTATGCGTTTCCATGGATCCCTGCGGCCGTGCCGTCTTCGTTTCATCTGAGGACAGGGCTCTCTACCTCGTAGAGCTCTTCGGTGAGAAGCCGCTCATTGGTCCGAATAGCACTGAATCATCGTCGACTGTCGTTCAAGTCAATTCACCGATTGGAGTTGCTGATGAAGATGCTGGTTCGGCTTTGTGCTTGGCACCAAACCATGATGGCACAACAATCTTATCCGGTCATGCAAAAGGCAAAATCTTGCAATGGCAGCTGGCCGAAAACGGTCACCCCACAGAGTTGACAGACCTCAATGCCTCTGTGACGAACTTGGTGTTTCCGCCATTGCTGAAAACACCTCGACCCACAAAAGCTGTTGCAGTTGTCAAGCCCACTCAGACCGAGCGGCAATTCACCTTTACATCTCAACTAAACACAAGTCTCGAACAAGAGACGAGATTCGGCAAGATGCTCAATGGCTTTGGCTTGCCTGATGATGCGCTCGAGGCCGCCATTCTTTCGTTCCAGGAGTCTCATGCACAACAATGTGCCACGGATGAAGAGGCTCAGCAAGAGACTGAAGAGTTGTGGGATATTATTAACGAGCAACGGGCGCTACACAAGCTGGCTATGCAGCCGTATCACGAAGCCAAATCATCTCATACCTGAGAGCGTTTCATCTTTCCTTCACCCAAAACCAGACGGCGGCTCGAGCCTTCAATTGACCTTATCCAAACTTTTTTTTTCCTCCTTTCAATTCTCCTTGTCTTCGCCTCTCGAGTCATTTGAGGAATTGCATCGGAACCAAATCCATCTTGAGCAGAAGAATCCGTGAAAGCTTGATGATTCGTCTCGCATGACCAGCACGAATCGGCCACGAATCATCTTTGTTTAGCAAACGACGAGAACCCGTCCTGATGGGGTGGTCCGGACCTATATGAGACGATTGTTTGGGGTACCTCGCGCCTCAAAGCTTAACCTTCGGCTATCGGCTTGTTGTTGATCAATCTTTCACACAACTTCCCGATATGAGGCCAGCCTGGCGAGCCGCGAAGAGATTCCTCGAACCGGGGTCCGGGGGGGTAAGAAACTGCACTTGTCAGAGGTGTTCCCGTCCTTGCCACAGGATCCCATGCGCTCAGGCTGCCGTTCACCCAAGTGTTCGTTTTGGGTTGTCACCACCAGACAAACAGCCCACAGGATCCTATTGAAACCGGTTTCGCATTCGTCAGGTCTAGAGCTGGTACCTTGCGTCAGTGGGGTTCGTCATGACTGGACGACAGCTACTAAAATATCAACAAATAGCCAGCCTTGTCGCTCGGTTCTTCTGACTTAGGTTCGATTCGTTGTGTGAAGTGAGAGAGTAGAGAGGAAGCCGTTTGACGACGAAAACGACCCGAAGATACACGATGAAGTTGAGCGCTGTAGCCACCCTCTTCACCGCCCTTGCGGCGGTGACCATCGCAAACCCGGTGACACGGTCGCACAGCCACGTCGTGCACGAGGAGAGGCATCCCGCGCGAAGAGAATGGGTCAAGAATCACAAACTACACACTATGGCCAGGCTGCCAGTACGGATTGGTCTTGCACAGTCAAACCTTCACCGCGCAAACGAGTTCATGAACGATGTGGCTCACCCTGACTCGCCCAACTACGGCAAACATTGGACCCATGATGAAATCGCCGAAATGTTTGCACCGAAGCAGGAGTCCATTGCTCTGGTCATGCAATGGCTTGAGAGCGAGGGCATCCACCGGAGTCGTGTCGAGCTCACAAGAGGTCGCAGCTGGATCCAATTCAACGGGACAGTAGGCGAGATGGAGCGGCTCTTGAAGACCGAGTACCACATGTACAAGCACGAACAAGGTCACAAGCACGTGGCTTGCGACAAGTACCATGTTCCGGAGCATTTGGTTCAGCATATCGACATGATCACGCCGACGGTTCACTTTGACCAGCGCATTGGAGAGCAAAGGAAGAACACCAAGCATGATCTGGAGGAGCACCACATCGAAGAGCTCAAGAAGCGGCAACTTAGGAAGCGCGAGCTCGCCAAGCGAGACGTTGCTACTGGCGGCAAGAACCCGGCCATTCAGGGCAGTCCAGATAGCGGCTTCGGACCCAAGCAGGGCGCGGTTGTCATGAACGCCCTCATGGATCTCAACCAGTGCGACTCCATGATCACTCCGGACTGCCTGCGGGCGCTCTACGCAACCCCTCCCGGGTCGCTCAAGTCGTCCAACAACACCCTCGGCATCGTCGAGTACACGCCCCAAGCATTCCTTCAGTCGGATCTGGATATGTACTTCAACGAGTTTGAGCCTCGTGCGAAGGGACAGGGCCCCATTGTCAGCCTCGTCGGGAACGCCGTAGTACAGACCACAAACCAGAGCTTCCGCTTCAATGGCGAGTCTGCGCTCGATCTTGAGTTTGCCATGGCCATGATCCACCCTCAAACGACAACTCTGTACCAGGTCGGTGACCTCAACCAGGGTGCCAGCTTCAACAACTTTCTCGATGCGATTGATGGCAGCTACTGCACTTTCCAAGGTGGCGGTTCCAAGGATCCCAACATTGACGGGCAATACAGCCAAAAGGTCTGCGGCTCCGTCCCCATGGTCAACGTCATCTCCACAAGTTACGGCTTCAACGAGGCGGATCTCGGCAAGAAGTACGTCGAGCGTCAGTGTGCCGAGTACATGAAGCTCGGCCTGGCGGGCGTCACAGTACTCTACTCTTCTGGTGACTCTGGTGTTGCCGGTAACGGCAAGCAGTGCATCGACACTCAGACTGGTGCATACAACGAGGGCCAGCAGGGTATCTTCAATCCTTCGTTCCCCGGCGGCTGCCCTTGGGTTACCTCCGTTGGTGCTACTCAGATTTTGGAGGGATCGACGGTCCATACCCCTGAGAGCGCCTGCCAAAAGGCCATCTTCTCTGGTGGAGGTTTCTCCAACGTCTTCGCAATTCCCGACTACCAAAAGAAGATGATGGAGCAGTACTACGCAAAGAACGCGCCGCCGTATGGTGCAGATCGGTACAACAACTCCAAAACGGTGCGAGGTTTCCCGGACATTTCTGCCAATGGCGCCAACTATGTCACTGCCGTCAACGGCAAGTTCTCGCTCTCTTTCGGCACCTCAGGTGAGACATTCGACTTCCAAATTCCAGTATCTGTTCGGCAAGAACTAACTTACTCGCAGCGTCGGCACCTGTTGTTGGATCAATTGTCAACATGATCAACGAGAAGCGTATTGAGGCGGGCAAGAAGCCTGTCGGATTTATCAACCCCACTCTCTACGCTCACCCTGAGATTCTCAACGACGTGACCAACGGCGACAATCCAGGCTGCGGCACTAAGGGCTTTTCCGCCGTGGCAGGATGGGATCCCGTCACCGGCATGGGGTAAGTACCTTCTTCGCCCTGGTCAAGATTTTACAAGCCATCAACTAACAGACGCAAATAGAACACCTAATTACCCTGAGATGGAGAAGCTATTCATGAGCTTACCCTAATTTCAAAATAATGGCCGCGCCATAGTAGTGGCGTCTGGCGGCGCAAGGAACATACTTACCACACACACAATGTCATATATATAGTGCTCCTCAAGAGGCATATATCAAAGACGCGGGACATTTTTTCTTGCCCAACCCCCCTTTTTGTGGCCGCGCAGTGTACAACTGGTCAGCTGCAGGGTCAGGATACCAGGAATGAGGGGGCAAGGCATTGTAGATTATAAGCATTAATAGAGGTACTTTACAAACACGTCGCAAATGTGTAGTTTGTGATGTCTGTGATGGAGGTTCTGAAATGGCCTTTCGTGGTGCAAAAATGGGATAAACTATGCATAGCTAGAATTAAAATTCATGCTGTAAATCAACCTCCAGACTGATCCCAATTGCATTGGTAGAAATCCCACTAAACCAAATGGTGATGAATCGATTGCTCATTGTTTCGGCCACGTTCACTTTGGTGCTTGACGAAAACCAGAGGTACGAGGCGAGACCGGCACATTGGGAGCGGCTTAGACAGCGGATTAGTAAAATGCCGCGCCCCGAAAGGGCCGCTAAGGCTAAACGCCGAGCGGGAGGAGAGAAACCGCGTTTGCATCATAGGTCCGTTTCCCGCCCCGAAACCTCGAGAAATAATTCCCATTTGCGCCTCCTTCACTGCCCGAGAGCTATTATTTTTTTTCTTTCTCTCGCAACCGCACCTCACGACGACACACCCCAGCAGAACTTTCCACGAAGTCCCCTTAAAGCCATCGATAGGTCTTTTTTTCCTCCCGCACGGGGCACCGCATTCAAGTACACGAAAAGCGCATTCACGATGGCGACGGCGATACAAGCTCTCAAGGGCGATGCGCCGCAGCAGGCTCGGTCTTTGGTATGTAGAGAACGACGGGACAACTCTCCCACGATTCCTCCCGACTGCATACATGCTTGTGACTCTGTTATCCATTTGACTTCGAAAGATCCAGATGCCAAGATGTTGCGTTGAAAATGCCTGAAGAAGAGCTTTTGCTAACAGTATTCTTTGCGACAACTGTAGTACCGCCAGCTGTTGAAGACGGGCGACCAGTTTGCGGCCTACAACTTCCGCGAGTACGCGAAGCGACGGACGAGGGATGCTTTCAGAGAGCACCAAAAGGTCGAGGACCCGCGGCAGGTGCAGGAGTTGATTCAAAAGGGGATTAAGGAGCTTGAGAAGCTCAAGGTTAGTGGACTCTTTGTCTCCTCTCCACGAAACTCCACTTTCTCGTTCTCGTCGAAGGAGCGTTTTTGGCGTGACGACTAGGGATGGGGAGGACGAGGGACGGGATTGCCCGGAGGTAATAGAGAACGAGCTAACACTTTTGGAAACAGAGGCAAACCGTTGTCAACCAGTTCTTCCAGTTTGATCGGTTAGTAGTTGAGGGCGGCGCCGCTGGCAAGCAAAAGGGAAACAAGGGCGGTATTGTCAGACAAACGGAGCATGGGTGAGTTCCTCCTCTAAATCTACTTTTCAGTGGACAATAGCTTGGGTAATAAGAAACTGACTTTTGATGGCTCTGCAGCTTCGACTAAACAGCGCAACTACTCGGAGTGTGGGGCGAAAGTCCAACTTAATAACGTCGCGAGCTCAACGGAACATTGACTCGGAATCTTTTTCTGTACAATATACTCAAACGGTGGGGCCGGAAGACAAGAAAAAAACAACGGCGGAAAGCCGGGGTGTATGACCATCAAAAGGGGGCGAGGAGAGGTCAAGATATTCTCTCAACTTTATGAAAGAAAGGGGTAGGGACCGGCGCGGCGGCAATCACTCCCCCAAATGAAACGCACTCCTCTCTGGAGTGTTGACTTCTTTTTTTATAATCTCCAACCAGGGCTTTTATTTTTGGGAGCATATAGATATGGCAATGGCGTTTCTATGACTGAGGCCTGTCGTTCTCGGGACTGTGGACGGCGGGATAGCATGGGTTTTGTCCGTTGCGTTCGAATCCTGGCTATAACTTTGTCAGGAGTGTGTCATTCTTGTCTGCCAAGTAAGCCTTCCGTTCGACTCGTATGCGAGTACTATCGAGGTCGATGGTCTCCCTAGTTTTGCAAGTGGCTGCGGGAGTACGCGTTGATAGGAACTGAGGGATCATATTCCACTCACTATGCAAAAATCTCACTCAAAGAAGC